AGGTTTATGAACAGAGAGTAAACTTCAAGTGAAAACGTTCCAAGCTTCACTTTGACTTTCATTGCCCTACCAGAATTTCTCTTGTTTACAAACATTGCTCACCCATAACACAATGGTCTGCAAGTTCCTCATCTGCAAACATCTACTAAAAATAAAGATTTCCCCAAATAAGTGCTAAAACAAGGGAGTATTTTCATTACGTGGTTTATTAAATAACTAAAAAAAAAGGAAGTGCATTGATGGCAGCTCACTGACCTCGTCCACCATTGCAGGCGAGACTTTGCAGGCATCGATGTTAGAATTACCGGCCGCGACTGACACTACAAACCCGGCGGTCACCATCTCTCTCACCGCTGTGTTGATAGTCTCGGACCTGGACCATCCTAGGGACATCGACACGACTCCGCCTCCCGTCGAGCCACTGTGTTCACGCACCGTTTTCAAAGCTAATAAGATGCGCAAATTATGCAATTCAAACCTCAGTTGCACGACCCTACTCTAGAGTTGCTTTTTATGTCCTTTTAAGAAATTGCCCAACCATGCATCTCTTTATTCAGTGAGAACAAAAGTGAAGGTGTCACTTGGACGATGGAGTGGATGTTAACAACATGCACCAAAATACCAGAGCATTCATTGCGATTAATTTCACCATCTTGCGATTGGCTTCGTCTGAACTGCCCCAAACAGTACAGTATCGAGCAACATGTTTGAACACGGAGAACAATTTTGAAACTTGTGGCTTGAGGAAGATCTGAACAAGTGGTCCTCGTTTTTAGCGAGAGAAAACATTTGCATTTTAACGGAATAAAGCTTAGTGTGACTCAATTTTCTCACAAGTCAACCTCGAGAAGGAGGCACAAGGCAAGAAAAATGATTATCATTTCCTCGAGGGGAATGTAGCCTGGTTAAGATTCGTTGCCTGTTATCAGAGAGTAGAGGGTTCGAATCCAGCTGATGACCATACTCTGTGGCCTCAGACAAGTCACTTCGCCCATGCTTGCCTTTTTTCTATCCAGAAATGTAATTATTTTCGCTCGCTACTAGACAACCTGGACTCGCAATCTATCTACGGAAGGATTGGAGTCTTCTTTATTATTTCGTGCCAAGGATACCAGAGATAAGTACCAGCCCGATGAGGCCAAAATAGCTTGGGACAAGCTTGCTACGGACGGTCTGCATGTTTTATCATCTGATTGCAAGTCTAGCCCTACCTTTGATGACTGTGCTCTTTGGACAGTAGCTGAATTGGTTACACACATTGAGGCTATAGACGTCAGCTTGTCGGGCTATCCCGAAAGTCACGCCGGTAGCCGTGCCAGCCGTGTGTGTGCCGTGACCAATGGTGTCCTCCACCCCATACAACATGGAGGCACGGCCGGTAAACTCCTTGTGCCTCGTCTGGATGCCAGTATCCACCATGTAAATGTTAACCCCTTTTCCTTGAACTGTCAAAGCACACAGATGTCAGGCATGTAAAATACAGAAATTGACCAACTGACTACCTTGGCCTGAGTACAGAATATGGACTTGACGTTCACATCATAGCCTGTCACAAAGGCCTTAAAGAAAGATTCTGACAGAAATCCTTCGTTTTCTCTTTAGAAACAAAAATAACTGATAAAACATTATTGACCAAATAAGCGGTTACAAGGGCATGGTCGTTTTTTTCTAAATCAGCTCTGTTTAAAAGTAAAAGAATACTCGAGTCAATTTAAAAGTCCTTAAATTAACTTTCAATCTTCAAAGGCTCTTTCCAGTCCACACCAAGAAGAAAGTAGAACTGTAAGTTCCACTAAAACTTCAGTGTTAATGTTAACATTTCTTTATTTCCGTGTTAATTTTGATTCCAATATTAAAGGAAGTGAAAAATGTATTTACTGTACTTTAAAGACATTTACGACGGTTCAACATGTATCTCCTTGGATTTCGCTGCTTTGTAGCTGACGATATAATTAATGCTGGAAGAACTAGTGCCCTTGTATTACCGTTGTCGTTGTACGTAAAATAGCCGTCAGTTCCCATACGGCTATCGATCCGATCGAGCCCCCAGGTTGGGTTAGGCTGTGTCCCATACAGTGTGCCAAGGCTGTCTTGCTCGATGTACTCGATACCCTCAATAGAGCGAATCTGTCAATCATTGTGGACAGAGATGATTTCCACATAATTATTTAATTAATTAAGCTGTAAATCTATGACAGCAACAAAGTGCTTTCAATGCATGGTCAAATCAGAAGTGTATGTATTCCAAAAGTCTATTTTGAAGACGGTGAAAAATTTAAAGTGGAGCACGAATGTTCTTTTTAAAAGTTAAGCACATATCGCTTTTACGAGGATTAACTTCAAAATGATAGCGGTACATTGTACATCTACAATCGTCCACCAGGTCGACATCACATTCAGTTAGATTGCTGTTAATTATCAAACAGTACGTTTTAATAAGAAGAATTTGTTCAGTGGGTCTTTTATATCAAGGTTAGCGTCCGTTCTGTATTCTCGGCAAAATAAGATAAATAATTCATACGCTTAATTTCTTGAACTGATTACTGTTCATAACAGCAAGGTATATAATCATTTCTGAAATTCAGAATCATATTGACAAAAGATTCGTCTTTTAAAATCTGAAAACTCTCAATCTTACATCATTCATTAAACGAGCAGGTATTCGCAGAATGAGAACCGGCAGGACGCAACGGATCTTGGTCACTCGTGGAGACGGGAGACGGACTCTCCTGAAGCGGTTCACGATCTCATCAGCGACGCGGTCCATTACTTCAAAACCCTGTCAAAATTATAACAAAATAAACAGTGTGAGAGGTTGAACATTATATCACGCTGGGGCACCCTGCTCAGTATGTAGATGCAGATCTCCGATGTCAGATTGCCCCGGGATGCCTTTACAACCTTAAGCCAAAACGTAGCATTTAAAGTTTGTTTTCGACTCGTTGGAAACTTAAGATTAACCTCACGCAACGCATTTTTGTTTCTGGCAACCAAGACGTGAGGAGGAATCAAATGATTCATCCTCAGTCGGAAAGGGAGAGGGAGTGAAACCCCATTCCTTCCAGAATTTATTTCCATGACAAAAAGGAGTCTTCACATCGGAATGTCTATTGCTTTCTTCTACGGCTTGATTTCCAGTAGTGACTAAATGTGAAGCTAATTGCGGAAATACCTTGCAATATCTTTTTTTTTTCCAAGGGATGGCTGGTGTGCTGAAGACACACACACACAAAAACCCAATAATCAAACAGGGCTTTCGTCAGTGAACTATTACTGAGTAAGTTAAATAATGTTCCCCCATTCAAGAATATAAACATTAACCAAGCGGTGTGGGTCTGTTGTCCACTCTCATACGCCACTGGATTATATCTGCACAGGGTTACTGACCGTGATCTTGACCATCCAACTGTTGGGTACAGGACGATCATCAGACATGAGTAGAGGTGCGAGGTCGGCACTGGCGACAGCTACGCTTATCAGCCCGACGAGTAAAGCTTTCATGATTACCCTTGGCTGTCTGCTTCGGAACCCCTCCACTAAACCGCCGAAATAATGTTTACAAGAAGACGAATAAATGACTCGCAAATTTTAAGGGACCAAAAAATTGCTGAAAAAGTCCTTTCAAAACACGCAGTTATGACCATAAAAGAACTCAAATTTGTCGCTCACAACGAAAACTCCGACAAGGTGATCACTGAAGGAGAACTTCCACCTGCAATATACAGTTGATCAGCGGAAAAAAAAAGATTTCGCATGCTGTAACTCATCTGATGTGTTTGTTTTTTGATAAAATTGCCGCATGAATTATTTCCTGAGGCGAAGTTGGATTCAGTATTGTAAACTCGTTGAAACATGAGCCTATGCGTTTTCTTTTCGGCAGCATATATACTTCAACATTGGAGCATGTGCACCTTTTCCCAAAACATTAAATGAGAAACAAGAACGTTAGATAAAGAATCCCAACGTGGTTCGCTGTGTGGCCTTGACGTTCAGTTTGGGTGTCGAGTCTTAAGTTGAGTTATCAAATTAGTCAAGATAGCTATTGACAAACCTTGACATGCAAATTTTTAACATTAGTTATTTTTAAGACTAAAAACAATGACTCTCTTGAATGTGCTATAATTGCTTTTGTAACTACTTTATACTTTTAAAGGAACGATCTCCAAATTGAACCTTGCTCAGTCTTTGTACATCAGGAGCTTCATACCGATAATGCCTCCCGCGTCTGGAGTTTCCCACCGAATCAGCAAGATACTGATAAGCAATGGCGGAATATCGACCACAATTTGAAGCGATTACATTTTCTATCAGCTGTTGAAAGTGAATGCTCACTTGAGAGTTCATTTGGGAATTGTAGCTATGATTCTCGCAGTATGACGTGCACATCATCAACAAGTGAAAATTGAACAAGATTTAGATGCATACTTGATGTGCAAAAACAGGCCACTGTTGCCAGTACGTCATACGGCGTGACTCTTTGCTATCTGCTACTTTCCTGACACAGACATTTGCTCACTTATTTTTTGTATTTATTTAATTAATTAATTAATTAATTTATTATTTGTTCTATGCTTAGCAGGTCAACGAAAATGCTTGTGTACGACTTCGAAACACCGTCCGCACGGACTGCTTGTTTTGTCCTCAATTGGAACTCCCCACTGCAGTGCCCTTCGTGCATATTTCTGATAGCCTGCGCATTCATGGAACGGACTGAAGTCAAGTCTACCGTAATCACATTTGGGGTTGGCTCTCCCTTTCAAAGTCCCCCGTTACGCGTTCTACACAGCTGAGCGACCCCCGCAGTCGCCAGGGTAACTAGAAAGTTACCCTGCGCATGCGCGCAATGTGCAGTAACCACTTGCTCTGAGAAACAAGGAACATTCCGAGGTACATGCAGTGAGGAACATGGTGTGATAGTTAAAGCATAGGGCAAGGACCTATGGAACATGGTGTGATGGTTAAAGCATAGGGCAAGGACCTATGGTTAAAGCAGCCGGCTAAAGTTGAAGGGAGTGGACACTAAGACGGAACCGAGCTTCCTCCCTTGCAGTATCATGCATAGTCAAACAACTGCAACAGAAATGCGGACTTTTGGATTTTTAATATCGATAAAGCCTTGGACTTCGAGGTAGGATGTTAGTCGTAAATCTGTTTGTTTAAAAGTTGGGACACCTGAAAGCGGTGAACAGTTCATCTGTAGGCCTATACAACGCAATGTCGTGTAACATCCAACTCAAAGCACTGCGACGCACCTCTAGTCTACGGAGATCGGAGAGGAACGAGATAGGAACAAGCACCAGTGACATCAATAGCCTAGTTGCATCAGACTGTGTAGGAACCAGGGAGGAGCCCCCGCCGTGCGATGCCACAATTTACCCTACCAAAGAGGCGGAGTCCGGCGCGTCTCTCCGTCCAGCGACCAAAGATGCCGTGTACATGCGACGGCACGCCAACCTACTCCATTGCTTGTGCCTGATCGTGGGGGCCACCATCGGACCGAACGTCTTTCTGGCCCCGTCCGTCTTCATCGCCAACTCCACTTCTGTCTGGTCGTCTACCGTGGTCATCGTCCTCTGCGGGGCCGTCTGTACCATCGCGGCCCTGTGCTACGCTGACCTCATCACGGCGTTCAAGGAGTCCGGTGGGGAGCTCATCTTTTTCTACCGGCCGCTGGGTGACCGGGCGGCCTACATTCAGGTTTGGGTGGCGTTGATCATTGGGCGGACAGGCGGGGCGGCCGTGTCGGCAGTCGCCTTTGCCGCATTGCTGATTTTACCCTTCTACCCAAGTTGCCTAGAAAGCCCTAAAGGACTTATTCGCATCGTTGCAGCAACCACTCTTTGTAAGTGCATTTGACTCCAAGCTCTTCTTTCTTTTAAATTAACTAACCAGGTTGGCTTTATCACAATATGATTTCACATTTGAATTCAATTAATGTTCAACATTCTGAATTAGGCCTATGATTTTTGCAAGCTTAGGGAACATTTTCTTTGACTTTTCATAAAGTACAGAAATACGCTTCAATGCCAACCTGGCTGAAAGACATCTTAAATCCGACCAAGTTATTTCAAACCTAAATCTGACTATTTTTGAATTGAAAATAATTATCGGACCCAAATTTTACTACTTTTGAAATGAAAATACACAAAATCATGTATTTTACCAGACTCCTCTTGCTGAATTGTTAGGCCTGCCTGATATTAAAGCTTGGTAAACGTATCCTCGTTTCTCCTCTTGAAATATTGTCATCTTTTAAAAAAAAGTCTTTGATCCTACCCCAATTATCCCTGTATACTAATAATTTTAGTCTAACACTCCGAAAATATATAATTTTGGTAGCCATGGCCAGTGAAGCTTACGAAAGTAGGAACAAAATGTAAATGAGAGAGCATTGAGAGAGACACACCCGCTAATGAGTTCGGCGATTTTTAGAGACTTTCTTTACTCCTTGAACTCACTGATGTACTTCTAGTTTTCAAAACAATGTTAGAGAGTCAGCTTATAGGACATAGGGCCAAAACGGCTTATCTGCGTATTAATTAATTAAAAAACAGAACTTCTGAGATACCGACACACTTTGAGATCTAGTCTAAGCCACTGCACTGAGGTCAAGTCTGATTGCACTGGGTATGTATATCCAATTTCTCCTCAACATTTTATTTGGAAAAAAATCCACCATGCACGCAATGGTAATTTAGAGTGATTTTCTGTCTTTCATTTGATGCAGTGGCACTGTTTTACGTGAACTGTATGAGCGTGCAATGGACTCTGAGACTACAAGTTGTTTTCACTGCCGTCAAGGTGGTTGGTCTGCTCTTCATCATTCTAGCCGCCTTTGTGACCATTTGCCAAGGTAATTGTGCGAATTAGTGAAATATCAAAGGAAGTGGGCGGGAAAAGGTTTTGGGTTGGGTTGATGATTTATTTCATGGATGAAAACAATTTCACAGTCGTTTAGGGGAAAGAAAAAGTCTCATTTCCACCCCCCATTCACCAAAGACCTGGAGTCCAATATTGCATTTATGTGGCAGCATGGTGGAAGCTACATATCCCAATTCTAGTGTTTTTGCATGTAGATACCTCAGTGTGACCTTGGAGGGTTCCCTCGTGCGGCTAGACTAGAGAGGGCACAAGGGTACCCATTCCTCGTCTTAGGGGCTCTTCCCTCCCCGAAGCCAAATAAAAGCCAAAAATATTACTCGATGGTCTAAGGCGCCTCACCCAGTGGACCAAATTTGTAAGACCGTGCTATGTCCTAAACGTTGATACCAGGATTGGCAACAAAGTGGCTGTTTTCCAAGCAAATAAACAAACTCGCGAGATTGCCATACATCACTGCCACGGGTGTGCTGAGCACTGCAGTCGCTTATCAAGGTCGCTCTTGGTGCTGTAGATGATGTGGCAGGACACAACAGTTATCATCCATCGTTACGGCAATGTGGAGGACTGGGGCTGACGGCACACACCAGCCACGGTCCTGTAGGCCTGCATGCACTTTGTAAAGGCCGTGATACCTTTGGCTCTGTCAAGCCGATTGTCACTGGAGTTGACAATACTGAACTACCTTTTGGGTATTTCGGCAAAGAGCGAGGCGCATTCGATTTCTGTATAGTATCTGGATATTTACCGGACCTGAAAGCACGGGAAATATATAATACCCTGTTCCGAGGGCTTGGGTCCACTGTCTATCCCCCTGATGTGTCACTGTCTCTTTTACGGGACCATGCGGCTGACGGAGATTCAAATTCCAGGGCCGTCACTGAAGAATTGTTATCAGGTTCTTTCATTTACATAATAGGACTGAGATTTTAATGACATTGGAGCTCACATATATTAACTGTCAAAACTCTTGCACTCGCCAGTCAAAAATATGAAAGCTGTGAAAGAAAGCACGCTTTGAATTCCGATGTGGTTCCTTCGTCCTTTGCAAATGCAGGTGAAAGCTTTACGAATCGGTAAAGAAGTTATGACATTTCGTTTTACTAATGCCACTCCGAATAATTCACCACATATTCCCAGTGGAGGAGTAACATTTGACAATCTCTCCCCCTCAGGTAAGACAGAGATCTTGCAGCAATCCCTCGCCTATCGGGTAGAGTTCGAATTCAGCAGGTTCGCTATGGAGATTTTCAGCATTGTAAACCTGTTTTCCGGCTGGTGAGTGTAAATTTATCTCCTATGCTTAGATATCGAATGGTGTGATTTAAATTCGTCGACTATAGAAATGTAAAGCAAAACATCCAGTCACACGACCTAAGTAACCTCTGAAATAAATAGGTGCTCAATACTTTTTAAAAACAGGTGTTTTATTGTCGGTGATAGGTCACAAATTGCCCACAAAAAAAACATAAGGAATGGCGCTCCCCGAAGCCCCACTCTAACGTCAATTGATATGCGTGGGCGGCTGCCTGGTCTGTTAATTTTTACCAATTATAGATCTATGTGAATTGTTCACATTTTTTATGCCATCGTTCCTAATACAGGGTTGTGATCGCTTACGTAGCGGAGGATATCAAGAACCTTGACTGGTAATGTATTGATCCTTAGATCAGATAATAATAAACATGTTATGTGACGATGAACGGTAACTGTATTTTAATTTTGAGTTTGACTTTTACTTTGCACTACCACATCCGTGCATTGAGTCGGGTCACTCGCAAAACCAAGAAGTAAATAGTTCAGAGAATTGAGAAGTCACCAGCGCTGTGTTAGGTTGCACAAACGAGTGGCCATCAGTGACTTTGTCTTTTTTTTTTCTCTCTCTCAGGACTGTTCCGCTTGCCCTGCTCATCAGCATCCCTCTAATTACAGTCATCTATGTCTTAATCAACCTAGCATATCTGACCGTCCTTACGCCCGAGGAGATGCTGACGAACCCTGCAGTTTCAACGGTAACAGAACCACACACTAATAAGAAATTCTTTCTTGTACATGGTGCAACCGCAAGTCTAACCTAATTTAGTACTTCCACCATGCATATAGATTCAAGTCTTATCTAACTTTTTCTTGCTGAGTTTGTGCACCCATACTTTAAAGAAAACACTTATCAAAGAGATGTTAATCCTCACTGTGTTAGTTTCTTCTCTTATCACTTTTCCCTGAAGTTTTTGGGAGGGAAATAAAAGACTTGAGAACACACATTACTTACTGCTCGTGATATTTGAGTTTAGCTTGTCATTAGGAACAACATGTAAGCAAGTAAGCATGATCTAAGTGCATTTTCGAAAGGAAAATTCTTTGTGAAATATTCGCCAAATCATTCTTCATCGCACCTTTAAAAAAAAATTATTATTAACAGTTAACGTATTTCATTATGTAAAGGAATGTAAAAGGTCACCGGAACTGCGTGGGAGATCACTGAAACTTAAGGGATTTAGAGACTCAGCAACTGACTAAAGACGCTGTTTTATGAACAGATATTTGCTCTTCGTGTTCTTGGCGAAAAGTGGGCGTGGATTATGCCTGTAACCGTGGCAATTTCAACACTCAGTGCATTCAATGGGCTCGTCATGGGGAATGGCAGGTAAGGTGGTTATCCCTACAAAAACCGGGAAGAGGTCTTTGATTCCAAGTTAATCTCGTGAAAGCACGGTTGGCATATCCTTCAAAATTAATGATCGGGAACGTGAATTTCCAAGTTAAATTTCAAACTGATAGACGATGACCGTGCAAAAGCCACATGAGCAGCATTTGATATATCAGATGCAAACCTAAGGAATAAAACTTATTCAACCGTTTTAATTGAAAGCGACAGCCAAAGTACATTAAAGAGTCCTTTTCGTTCAAATGTTTAAATTTTGTTTCACTGTCACCGATTTAGTTCCATTTCCTGTGACTAAATATTCCTGAATACAAGACCAAATGTTCAGATATTTTCCTACGTCGAGTTGCCAGGAGATAGAGTGGAATAAAAACCTAATTACGGCGAAGTCAGGATTTGTATACCGACCCAGACATAGTCTCATGAGTTTCCAAACCGCTTTCTTCCAGGCTTTTAATGGTAGCAGCCCGACTGCATTGTGCTCCAGAGATCTGGTCCATGCTCAGCATCAAGAGGAATACACCCACAGCAGCCTTCCTCACATACGTAAGCTGCCTCTGTAGTAGCTTCCCCCGACTCCTGGGATCATCCAGAATTCTGACCAAAACGCTATACAACATGTAATGGATTCCAGTATCATTTACTTGTCCCTCTTGATTCTCTTCCTATATTTTGAGGAACACCAACTCTGGCATCCAAAAGGAAACCTTGTGTTAGCCTTCCGCGGTGATTAATCCAGAATTTGGGGTGATGCTGGGAGGTAGCAACTGGGACTTTTCAACAAAAGTGACCCTGTGACTCTTTTCCATCAGAAATTTAAAAAGCGTTGGTAGTACAGGTTGTGAGAATGAAAAATAAGTAACACAAACAAGTAAAATGGTAACTCTTAAAAACGTGCGCAAGAACAAACATACACCTGAGATAATGCACAAGGGCTGTACCTCCTTATTCCTGCTCTTGCAAAATGAAAAGTGGATGAAATACACTTCTTTTTATTGGGTATTGTCCCACGTCCAGATCCCAATCTGCCTGATCATGATCCACATCGACAGCCTAACCATGATCCTGAACCAGCTAGCTTCCTTTGCCTGGATGGGTGTAGCCATGTCCTGCATTGTACTGTTGATAATGAAGAAGAAGGTGCCTGACATTGAAAGGCCCTACGAGGTAAGTCATGCGATATGCCGATTTCTCGGTCTTTAAATGCAATTTCAGGCATTTCATGGTGGAGAACTCAGTGAAAAATGAAATTGTTGCTACGAAGAGCGAGCACAGTGGTTACACCAAAAACCACAATTTGGGTAACTGAGCCTCTACGAAACACCTTTCCAAAAATTTATAGACAATTACCTAGTCGCGCCCAAAAGCTCACAGGTGACCTGGAGAGTCTCTGTTACTTAGACCACGGAGACCAGAGATGTCAACTCAGTAAATTTGGCCTGCTTGCTCTAACCAGCATTGGAAGGCATTCTTGGCCCACAGTGGTGCATGGCAGAGCTGTGGTCGGCGACATCACACGTCGAAACACAAGTGTGGTCGCTGGAAAATGGGGATGAACAAGTCACAGGTTAAATAAACAGATTTGAGTTGGAAGCGAATGACTTCCTCAATGGACTTGCGGGGACTTAACAGCATCGCTCCATGCACAAACATTTATCAATACGCGTTTAAGGTCGGTTCATACTCCAGGCGAACGTGGTAAGCGAAGCGAATTTGACGTCACGAAAGATTTGCGGCCAAATTTCACTCGAGTTGATGAACTGTGCTCAAGTTTTCGAATTCGCAGCTCCAATATTTGAGCTCACGTCACAAAATCGCATTTGTATTCGCTTTCGCACCAACTATGAACCGGCCTTTACTGTTACAGATTTGACCGATTTGGACTTGTTTTTCTTTCCATTTTGCTACCAGGTTCCAAAAGGTTTTCCCATCAGCTTTCTAATCATCAGTCTAATTCTCATCGGCTACTCAATGTACCTGAAACCCGTCGCTGTGGCCATCACAACGGTTGTGGCCCTGTCCTTCATACCGCTCAAGAAGTTCGTCTATGACAAGGTGATCGAGAAATGGCCGCAACTGCTACGCCATGGAGGTGAGTTGCCTTACTTGTCAAACACATTCGCAATGTGCGAGCAAGCATCTTCCAGGCACTCTTCCAATTCAGTAAAACTGCAAACTCCTTCCGCAAGCATGTCAAAGTAAATGTATAGACATGATAGATGCCAACACTTTCCCATAATGAACTGTAAGAATGTTCCCTCTCCGTTGAGACTGCCACAGACCAGAAGAGAAATCAACTCTCTTTCCAAAAGAACTGACGATGGCAAAGTAGACAACTTGACAGGTACCGAAGCGCATATAGGCCAGTCCCAATTACTTACTATTGGGCATAATGAATTATTTGCTCTATTGTTTACTTTCCAGAGAGGATTTCGTTATTTCTGCAGAAACTTCTCCTAGTTGTACACCAGGAACATCAAACCTACTGACATCCATTACTGGCAAGAAGTTGCACAGTTCACGGATACTGCACAGTACACGAAATGATTCCATTCATTCTCAAACTGCAGTCAATCACATAGGGAAACGCGTGTCAAAACTACTACCGTTGAAAAAAGCCCGGGGAGTTGTTACTTTTTATAACACATGATTATGAAGTGCATCTACCAGGGTGGATGATCAAGGCGCCACAGCGCTGTTACCCCTTGCTGATGGGGGCATAGGCAGTGCTCTAGGAAAGAAGCAACTTGACACAAAATGCCTTGCTTAGGTACACAAGCACTATAACCTCCCAGGCTGAACTGGAGCCCAGTGTTTGCCAAAATGATCCACAACTCTCGAGATCGATGCTCCAGGCCAGAAGTTTTGCAATCCTCGCAAACTTAGAAGCCAAGAAAACCTTCCGAGATCATTTGTATCCAGCAAGTATGAATTCTTTACATTTCTATTCTGGATTTTCATTTTTCAACAAGTACACAAACATCTAACAAAATAATAGTAAAATTTCATTTGAGATACAACACAGGAAATAACACCTCCAGTTATCTGTCCATTTTCTAGTACATGTATATTTTTTTATCTATTATTAATTTTCACAGTAATTACATGTACAAGCTAAACATAAAGACACTTTCATGAGTATGATGGTAGTGTCGATAAATTCTTACAATGACTACACATAAAGCTTGTCTGTAAATCAGTCCCGTAAGATAACCACGTATTTGTTTTCTTTTAAAAGCGCAGAAAAGTTTTTTTTTCCATCACATGACTAGACATTAAAAAAAAACAGCATTAAAGAATAAGTTTCATTTTGTTCAGAAAATGCCAATCATTTTCGAATGAAGTTTATTCTATCCTCCAGGTATATATTGTTATTTCATTGTATTGTATTTTGAAAGATTTGAAAATTGGCTTATTCGTAATTACTGACCAAGCACATAATGTTCAAAGTGCATTTTTGTTTAAAGTTTGACATCAAAATGAACTGTTTCACTTCATCTATTTCGTTTATATTGTATGACGTAAACAAATCAAAATTTCATAGTCATTGCTGTGGTTAACGTTCAACCCCAGGTTTTGATTTAAAAAAATAACGAAAAAAAATTCCAAAAAAAGTTTCTTGTATCAATTGCCTGGAACACACTTAAGAGTCTATTTCATCCACAATGAAGGCATTCGACACGCTTTAGGGTCTTGACTTTATTTTTTTTTCTGGAGAGTTCTGTTGCGGTCTTTATCCTTTTTCTGAGCCATCGCTCTTCCCCCAAACCTTAACAATACTTTCCCCTCTTCTATATGCTCAAAGAGGTGTTACCCTTTTTTTAGTCGGCACAGTTTGCTTCCCAACTCTTTTAGGCAAGGAAATTGGTGTATGCTGTAGCTCCAAAGCACTGGCTCCAAGGGTTTTCAAAATCATGTCTCGCTGGACTGATTTGTACACCAATTTTAAGATTTAACTCAATCAAATAATCTTAAATGCTAAAATAACCCAAAGATGTAAGTATGGTTTTCATTTTGTCTTAACAATGTAAACCAACACGCAGTTCCAATGTCAGAGACGAGCCAGAAACAAAGCTGCAATTAAAAAAAATCCTATGACTAGATATACATGTGCCTGCTACTTAGAGGTGGCTAAAACAAGTGTCCATATTGTTTCCAAGAGATAGTATCACGCACTCGAAGTCGTGTCTACTATACCAGTGAGGGAAAGCGTTGTACTTCATTTTGATTAAGCAGAGGAACTCATAACTTGCATGTGGGGACACTGAACAAGGGACATCCTTTGGTCCCTCCTTGAGTTTGCCCTGTGGAACAGTACACACATGTACACTAACTACACCTGTTTGCATATGAATCCGGTCCCACAAAAATAGGAACAAAGCAATCTTTGTCAAAGACATCCTGCAATTCATCAGAGCATCACGCTCATGAACATGGAAACACATTCCTTGACTTCTTGAGTCAAGTGTGCTAAAAACCAACTTTCTATGAAATCCCTGTTTAAACTGCTCGGCGCCTGACTGTCTCCTTCACAGTAAAGTTCAAGTTTTCCATTAGAAATTTTTCCATTTCTGAGTTGAAACAATTACACTCTTCCTTAAAAGTTATGCCATTACCTGTTCACAGATACAAGTAAAAAACAAACAAAATGTAATAGTGGACATATATATACAAATACAGTGAGAAATATTGGAAGTGTGAAAATTATAATAGCCTCGGTTGAGAGACAGACAAAACTGAAACTTCTCATCTCAGGAAATATTCACATTGCCATTGTTATCAATTAATTCATAAGCCATGAGGAAAAACGAGGCAAAGATTTAAGACGAGATTTTGTAATGATGTCTTTGTGAGAACTTCAACTTGTTTTTCTTACTGGAAAAATGATGTTTTTCTTTCTTATTCCTACAACAATTAATTTTCTAGCCTTTAGCCACGTTGTAAAAACTTTACAAGGCAGTGTGAAAGAAACATCTAATAGATTTTTCGACTGGTAATGGAACTTGTAGAGCAAGACTCCGATGCTGCTAACATCTGCTATGTATCCAAGGTCATACAAGTAATCCTCTGGCATATGTACATTTGGACTTACACTCAGGAAACGATTAGTAAGACTGTAAGTATTGAGTCAAGGTGCAAAACTACTGACTTGTTCAAGAGAGTCACTGATACAGACGAGCACTCTATAGACCAATGGCATGGGCAGCCAAAGTTTACAGAAAGTTCACCCTTGATTAATAAGGGTGGTGTTTTCGTTATTAAGTAGCAGTATTTATTATTCAGTGTTTTCAAAGCTGCGTGATATTTTTTTTGTCCACTTAGTGGATTATTCTTTTGCTTTTGTATTGATGGCAAGCCAAAGCTCTCCAATCCCTTGTGGGCAAAATCAATAACAGTGACATGACAAGAAAAAGGTCTGTTAGACTGTGACTTTCAGGCTTATGGGAAGACTCAACAAACAGATCATGTCAGAACCAGAACTGAGTTTTCAAGGCAATGCATCCTTTGGCAAGTTCCAGAGATGACCACTTGTAAAGAACTGGTCAATTTCCCTGGTAACAAAGGCACAAGTGCACCCTGGGTAACAGGCTTAATCAACCAGTGGTTGAAAAATGGTCGCCACTCAAAAGTGTGGGTCTGTTTCAAGAATGATGATGTAACGCAACTATATTTAGCTCACAAACCGGTCTTTCCTCCCCAGAAATTGCTTTGTTCATTGGAGGACTCTACTGTCAGTGAGTCATTCAATGTGAATATTTCCCATGATGGCCAATCCGTCACCTGTCTAGAGGACAATACCCTGGTAGGAGGGTCCTTCCGAGTCACCGGCATCCATCTTGTTCCGCAGGTGCTCGAGGGTGTTCGTGAAGTGCTTGTTGATCTGCTCCGTCTCGTCGTTGTCCTCCAGGTTGGGCAAGTCCTCACGGATCTTCTCGATCAGCTGGTTGATGATCTGGGCTGTCACCTGTTGAGGAGGGCCAGATCTCAAGAAATTTATCCTTATTATTACAATGACACCTTCAACGTCACCAACTGACTACCGAGGAGTTTCTGACAAAGAAATACCTAACCTCCCAACTCTTCAGAATTATCCTCTGTGGGGGAAACCCAACAACAAAACTTATAAAGGGCATCAAGCCCCATGTAAGGAAACCAACTTCTCTCCTCCTACCTCACTGTGATATTTGTACATTTTTCAGTCAAACCTGGCACAAACGAAGGGTGGTATTTCTCCATACTTTGATGGCCCATGTGGAAAATAGGCAAAGTGTAAGCGGTCTACCAACCCTGACTTGTAGCGCCCTCTCACTGGTCTTACAGGAAAAGGCAAGCTGATGGAAAGTGTTTAATTTTTGTGTCCAGTGCACATGCAGTGACTAGACATTCAAACACACTGGTCATGCATGCTCAGCACATAGCGTCATATGTGCACAGACCTCTGCATGGACATGGTGAATCTCCATGAGAGGGTTGGTTGACAGAAGTGTGCCAAATCTTGTTTCCCACAAGGAGCGAATGGTGACTGGGCTCTTCTTTCTTCAGTCTTCCACAATCTCCCAAAAACTGTACAAGGTCCTGACAGGATGAACTTCCAAGAATTGCTTCAAAAGCAGACGATATGACTTAATGAATAGGCAGAATTTAGCTGAGTGTGAGGCAATACAGCGTGCAGTCAAGTATATGTACAGGTCTACTGAAATATCACTGCTCAATAAACATGTGTCAGAAGTTTGATAAGTTGGCCAGAAATTCCAACCTGGTAAATTTTGTCCCTCTGCTGGTTCCCATATGGCCATTCATTCTAACTTGGCCACAGGTCTCAAACAAGTTCACCCCAACATACTAAACCTCCTTACCTGGTCATTTCCTTTCTCAAAGTAATAGATGTACCGATTGAGAATCTCTACAAACAGCTGGACTTGGACGGTGGGGTCCATGCACTGCTTGGCAATACGCAAGGCTTTCTTCAGACACTCACTGACATTCTTGGCAAATTTCAGCTGCAAGAAGAATACATAACGCTAAATAAAAATCATGCCTTCAATGAAATTTTAGTGTTGGTTGGAGCAAATTAGTTTAATTTAGACGAGCAATGTTCAATTTTCTGTACTTTGCGACTGTGTTGGACATTTGGACAAAGTTTACATATATTCCAAATTTGGGAAGTTACACCAAACAAATGTAACAAAAATCCCAAACATTTCTGGTTAGGACACAGTTTCTGATATACTTGTGTGTATATTTTGAGAACGTTTCAACGGTATTCTTTAGGGTAAAACCGTTAACATTTGAAACTGTGTGACCTGATCCAACAAAATGAGTTTTGAGGCCATATATTCACTTATTCGGTTTTACTTTGTATCAGGCAGAGCAAAGTAAGCTCTTCATTTTGATGCATGACTCATTTTGCCACTCTGATGGAAATGGGCAGTAGGTTCCTACTGATTTACACTGTTCAAGAATTTCTCCAGAAGCCGTTAACTCGCAAGTTGCTATACTAACTTAGGACCCAATGTTTTTAGGACTGACCTCCTCCCCTCCACTCTCCAGTGTCTTCCCGGACCAGAAGAGGTGAGACACCATGCCGACCGCCCGGCACTGGTCGGGCTTCTTGAGCAGCTTGGAGGCAATCAGGGCACACTGGGTTCGCAGGGGCTCGTGGTTCTCCTCCCCAAAGAAGCTCATCTGCTCCAGGGTTGCGATGATGAGGCTGATGGCAGCCAGCTTGGCCCGGGAGTCCGAGATCTCGTCCTCAAAGCATGCAAAACACTGCCGGGGGAGGAAGGGGCACAGACTACTTGACTGGGAACAAAGTATATCTTGCCTCCCCAAAAAGCCTCACCCTACCAAGAATACAGCTAATTCTCTTAATTCACAAGTCAGCCACACTGAATTGAAAGCAAGGTTTACTTTTTCATTTTGGCACCTGACAATAAAAATCAAAAGCACTGATATTAAACTTCATTCCAAATTAATATCATTTGTGCTGATGAAGAATTTTAACTTTTTGATTAATTACACCTAAAAACATATATGAAAAAGAGGCACGGAACCCAAAACAATCTGGCACCACCCCATGTAATAGATTACACTGAATCAGAGCACACTCAAAAATGGTTTTCCCATTAATAAGGCTTATTTAGCAGGCTTTCTGTCTTTTACCAGTTTCCTTTCTTTCAAACACAATCTAGCAATCTACGGGTAGCTAATAAGTTGAACTTGAAGTGAGTCAACTTCAGCTGACATTTATAAACGAACACCTATCTCCACTTGTTTCGTCTGAATACTCTGTGGGGGCAGACTGCATGTTGAACCTGATTGCTGAGCACAACCTGTTGTGGTAGTAAATATCGTTGTGGGCATGCCTGGGTGTGTTGCAAAACATGAGGCTGTGGTAAAAATATTGTGGCAATTGGCTGTAAATGCCAGTGTAAGTTGGCCGATAAATCTTGCCTTTTCATAATTGAAAATGGGAGTAAATTCTACAGGGGGTGTACAATTTAGACCAAGATTTTGATGAACTTTTAAATCAAGAGAAGACGCCTTGCACATTGGCACAGTTTACAGATAGATGCAATCTGTGCATAGCAAGAGGTGACACTTTGCACCTTCCGATGATGTCCCATGGAAAGCGAGCCCTCTAAAGCATATGGAAATCGAGTTGCCTATGTAAATTTCAACTGGAAAGACACACATAAACCAACAAGATTTCCACAAGGATGTCAGGCACAGGGTCTCTCTCTGTGAGGGTGTACTGCCGCACTCAGCCTTCAACGCCTTACCTGCGACATAAAGTCGTAGGCCACCATCTCGTGGTTCTCAAACTGCACGGTGCCAGCTGCCAATGCCCCCTGCAGGAAGAGGCGCAAGGACAGCTCCGGGTACTCTGCCTTGGACAGTGCACAGATGGTCTGGTGACTGAACTGCAAGATCTTCTGGCACTTGGCTTCCCATTTGTCGTCCTGTCAAAGGGAAGAAATAGTCAGGGGATGGGGAAAACCTACATATACATGTAAGCCTCTTGGTTTCACCATCAGAAAGTAAGACTGAGTGATTCACACGTCCATTTGATCGAATTTTAGAATATCCAATAATATTCAGACGAAACAAGATTCTGGGTCCACTAACCATCTATGACAGCAGTAATAATTATGCAGATAATCATACATAATAAGTCAACATGTTAAGAGGTTTCATGTACAGTGCTGAATCAACAAATTCCAACAATAACTAAACAGAAAAAAAATGGCAATCTTCATTCTAAATGTGTCAGATTAACTGAAGAAAAACTACTATGTAGATGACACATGCAAATGGTAAACACCAAATACACTGTCCAGAACTTGCAATGTACAATCATATAGAAGCTGAGCTAGAATCACAGCCAGAGACAGGTAAATACATGTATGTGCAGTAGAACAACATCACACAAATGCACAACGCTGCTGCCTGGAACCTACTTCCTCTGCTAAGTCCTTGTACTGGTAGGCCAAGCGGTGGGCAGCAAACACTAGCGGCGGTAATGTGTATCTGATTCTCTTCTCCCCGCCTGTGCCAAAGTGTTTCCGAGCGGTGTGCAACATCTGGAAGAAGTAAAAAACACCACATATGAGCTTAGCAGGCTTCCATCCAAGTTTCCCCATAAAACTTTGAGCAGTTCCTGATAAGAAGCAATCATACCTGCACAAGAACGTTTATTGCAACTGATGCGAGCAATGACGCAGATAAGTCCGCAAAAGTTGAATCGTGCTCAATATTGCCAAGGGCCAGTGCTAAGTTGTCAGAGTAGGCACATGAAAAATGTTTTTGGCATGAAGGGCCGATTACAACGTCTCCCAAACCTAAGCACAACATACATGTATTTCATTCATCGTCTCCTTGTGACAAAGAAATCCCACTAGTCAACAAAAAAAGCTGACATACATGTACATCAAACTGAAGTACCAGTTTAATTTCAAGAAATGGTACAGCCACCAAAAAAGGACATTTCATATGAAGATTTTGAGAGTTTTGGTTTCATTATTGTTTCAGTTGTTAATGGAATATCACACACCATCTCCCTTGGGACTGTGTTGACATCTTGTTTTTACAGCTACTGGTGTATGGAAACTTGGCTTAAGACCCCCTATAAGAGCTCAGCTAAATCCAGCAAAAAATACCAAAGGACAAGCTCTGGAAGAAGTGTATTAAGAATGCACTTGCAAGACTCCACAAAAACTGCAATCCAATTTGACGCCACCGAGATATGAACCAAGACATCAAAATCACCCCCTCGCCAAAATATGTAAGAATACTCCCATTTTCAATCTCAAATCAGTGGGGGAGAGATGGTCTGTTCCTCTACTCGACTAACCTTGGCTTGTTGGTCGGCTGTCTCAGCCTGCAGTAAGTTGACAAATCTCCCCATCAGGCCTTGCTCCTCTGCAAAGTCATCTGCATCCTCCTGAGGAGAAAGGAAAGGAAAGATGAGCGATGACTTGGAGCCCAAATGCCAGCATCTTAAACGCTGTGTATAGGATTTCCCGATATTGTTTCAACATTTAAGACAGGGCGCGAATAATGCTATCGTCAAAATTGCTAAGAAAAGGACATTTTACAATATGTGATTCTGCAAAATATTTGGAATTAAATAGGAGGTGGGTTAATCTATCCAAATATCACAAAACCAAAAAATTGTCCTCTACTTCAATACATGACTTTGAACCCTCAAAACAGGAAAGTGTGGGATGTGACTTTACTCTCATTTTGTCGTGACAGGCCACATACATGGAGTATTGTGTTAAATACCAGAGTTCCACCCCAATATTTGCCAAAGTAAAGGGATAAATAGCAGTTTTCACACTCTTCCATAATGTATTTGCAGGTCCATCATTTTTATTAATGTAATATTATAATTAATTTTTTTTAACTCTTATTACAGTTATAATGTAACAGTGAAATGCTACTGCGTCGCGCGTCATGCATTTGTGTCACGCAAGTCACATTTTCTTCAGGCCATTTCTCACAACAAGAGAGACTTGGCACAATGCAACCTTTGCGTGGATTAGGTCAGAGTATTAAGTTTTTAGTTCAGTAAAAATTTACTTTAGCACACTTGTACATTCATAGGAAATGCTTTTAGAATCAAAGGATATGAAAAATCCCCATTTCTATCCTGTCATGCGAGTCACGTCAAAGAAACCGTGATAACGAAAAACAACAAAAATAAAAACTAAGAGATACATGTACATTCACAATGCCTTGTCGTAATTACGTGCTAATTTGAGTTGAATAAGTGCCATGTTAGCAACAGTAATGCATTAAAACTCAACATTTTGTTCAAATGTCACGCGAGTCACCATGAAATGGCTGACATACAAATCCTATAAACTAAGGAAAAGGAAAAGAAAGCCAGACTGGTCCAATGGTACGAATAGTACAGAAAGCAATGCCCACAGATTTCTAAGCCAGATTGGTGAAATTTAAATGTATACAAGTTTAAAACATTAAATCCAAACACCATAATGGAATACAAGCTCTAACTCTAACATTTTTTTTACTTATGCCATTTAGACTTTGGTTAAATTTAGGGCCAACTGTACACATTGCATGCAGGTGTAAAGCACCTGTATGACCCAAGTGCTCTCAAATCAATGACATGCTTCCTTTACCAAACCAACTTGAATAAATATAACATTTGTGACTAAAACTACAACTAAAACTACCATGCATGTATCTGAAAGTCTTGAGGAATTTTAAAGAAAAAGTTCCCATGTACATAGAAAAACATTAATGATTTTAAAGTGAATTTGTGGCCAACACAATCACCTAAATGAGTCATGAAAAAGTTTTCACCGACGTTTGTTTTCAGTTGCATTCTTGCAAATGATAGTTTACATGTACATGAACATGACTTGGTTTGACTCACAGATAAATACAAACAAGGGTTAAAAGATTTCCTTTTGATTTTGACAACAAATCAAAAGAAAGTACGTATCTCTGCCCAGCTGTAGTGTGCCAAGCTAAGCTAAAATTGGGTCACATCATGTGAGCCAAGAGATGGAAGTCTGCATCATGTATAAGAAAGTCACTTTTGGTGCAAGTACCTGACCTGAAAATCACTGACCTTCAAGATTTAAGCATGCATGTACATGCCAAAAAAGCAACATGCTTTTCCATGTGCCCATATTAAAGGAAAGTGTAAATTGTGTACGTTGTACAATGTAACGAAGGTGACGTACATGTAGGTCTTGGGCTGTGTGCACAAACAGCCAACAAAGCATCTACAGCAATTAATGAGAATTAACCCTAACGGTTCTCAATTCTCCAATTTCAATATGATTTTACATACACTGTGACCCTTGGGGTTAGGGTAACATTCCATTGCTGTGATTGTGTAAAAAGTTCCCAGAGAGAAAATTTGCCTTGGCTATCAAGAGTGAATATCCAGACCTAGAGTCAAGGTTTATGCCTGCTTTTGATATTGCTGTATTCCAGGTAATGAGCTGAAGCAACCACTAACAGGCTTCATAGAAAGTGAAGGCGACTGCTCTGAAATGTACCTTCTGTCCTAAGCTCTGTGATTCTGCAAAGCTTTCTGAAGTACCTGTACATGTATGGCCTTGAAGAAATTCTTTTCTTAACAAGACAGACTTAGTGTCAGGATTGAAATGTAACTGCCCACAGACTGAAACCCTTGAGCAGTTCAGGCTGCTCACAGAAACCTACATGTACAGTACATGTATAGTGTATGCCAAACACAATTTGGTTCAGCACTGGGACTTGGATGAAGTGGTCCACCTACCCTAGGAACACATGCAGATACATGTACTGTGAATGCAATGGCATGAGTAAGTACTGTAGCACCTGTTTGCATATCAAATATCAAACACAGAACAGTAAAATTAGTGCCGTATTTTGGAGGTTTGTTTGAAGAAATGGAAAAGTGCAAGGTAGAACTACTTTAATCTACATGCACATGCACATGTTATGATTGATTGTAGCCTTGCCTCAATGAAATGCATGATATGGTACATGTAGGTCAACATTTTTCATAGAACTTGAAATCTGCAGCATTTAAAACCTTGAAACCTTGCACAGGAGTTTGTAGTCTGAGCTGACTGCCAACATTTCTTTGAAAACTTCAGAATCCAATATTTTATCATTTTTTGTGTGTTATTCCAGTTTTTTCGGTTGATCAGTTTTTTTTTAGCTTCTTTTGGAAAAGAGTCAGGATTTTGAGGTTGGCATGAGAGAGAAAACTGTTGGGCTAACAGATCCTAATGTTGTCGTGTATTTTTGTTTCCAGACCAATATTCCTAAAGGTTTAAGGAACAGCATGCACACTTTTTGAGTCATGTTTATTAACTATTATATTATATTGTTGCTTTTTCTTTGGGGGGGAGGGGGAGGGCATGCCTGTCTCCATGCTGTGTCCAATCCCCTTTTACCACACCATAGAGTTCTACACCACACACAGCCAAAAGGACCATCTACAGTTACACTTTGCTGCTAGGTACAGTATGGTACAAGGATACCCATATCTTCTCATTCAGGCATGTCACTGCCTATGCTGCCATACATATACAGTATTATACCATAGAGTTGGGTTGTAGCTCTATGATTATACAGTTTAGCAGAGTACTGAGTTTCCAACACAGGCTCCACATGCCCCAGTCACCTCCTGCTGTTTGCCAGACAAGTCCCCCTCTCACCCAGTGAACTTTCACCCACTTCTCACAGGGTGTCCCCTGCTGCTTCCTGTGAGAGTGCCAAGGCCACATCACAGTGGTAGCTAGACCTTCAGCTGGTGTTTGACAATCCAGAACCATCTGGTCTGCAGGTACATGTAAATCTTAAGTCTTGATTGTGTATTCTTTTTGCGGTTGACCGATTATTACCCCCCTGGGGCTGAAGAAGGAAATATTGTTAAGGGCTTGGAGGGCTCTGGCTTGACAATCTGAGACAGCTGGGGGAAGCAGTGGGTGACTGACAAGTTTAATACTGGCTGCTGGTGGTATGGGTTCCTAGGGGTGCCACTTCTATAACATTACGGGACAATTTCACTTTGACCAAAATCAAGACTTGCAAAAGTCACTCCACTGTCCTTGTTTGCAGCATGCCTTGTTATCGGCAAACCAGGTAAGAGTACAGTTGTACATGGGGAGTCAGGTTGGCATAGAGGTTCTTTCCTTGCCTTCCACCTCTGCGGTCCAGGTTCGAATCCTGGCTCAGTCCACATGCGTATTGGGTTTTTGGTCCCTACTTGAGTCCATGGGTTTTACCCAGAACATTGCTCTGGGGTTTTCCTCCCACCTCTAAAACTGCTGTAACTGCTTTTCATAACTCTCTACAAGTTGGTATGATGTTTCCCCGGAGTGCTTGCCAACTTTACAATACAGATAGATACCGATAGTTGTATGCGTATACAGGTATGTTTTATCATAATATACATGTACCGTACATGTACAGGTGCACTCCAAGAGTTTTATGTGACCTAAAAAACAAAAATCAGTTTTATCATAACACACATGTACATGTACATGTACCATACATGTACAGGTGTATTCCAAGAGTTTTATGTGACCTAAAAAACAAAAATCAGTGATTAAGAATTTCTCCTGGAAGTAATTTTGCAACATTCTTGAAAAAAATATTAAAAGCAACAAGATGAGTAATTTTGCTCTTGGGAAAAAATTTTGACAAAGGGCTGCTCACTGGCTTACTGTCATTTAGGCCTACTCAAACAACCATGAATTGTCACAGTTAAAGACATTTAGAACAGCATAATATCAAACATTCCAGCAGATTTTTGTACAAACATTAAGGCAACATTGAGGTTTTTCTTCTTGGAATGACATTACAGTTCAGCTCGTACGTACAGGAAATCCCATTAACATCAATACCAAAAAGACACAAAAAATTCTTTTAAAATAGTAAAAAGAACTAGGAAACAGGGACAATTGAAATACAAAAGGTGCATTTTCAAGTTGTCAGCTTGTCAGTGAAAAAGGGCTTGCATAGACCCTTGAAATATAAACAAGTGTCTGCCTCAACAACACCTGCAGTATTACCTGTCATGGCCGGGGGCCTGCATTGAGGGGACAATTTCTTTTGTCAGGAAACTCGGCAACATGTTGTGGGGACAAAAAGTTGGCCCTTGAATAATTTGGCCCTATAATGATGAGGGTTCAACACCTGCTTAGTCCCAATAATGACAGTGCCAGCATGTGCGTCCCAACACCTCACTAAATACATGTATGACTGTTTCATCCTACGATATGCACTGACCTTCTTTGAGAGTTCTCTCACATTGGGTGCAATCAAAGCATTACAATAAAAGAGAAACAATTTCACTGTGATTGCCAAAATTTTCATGTCGTGCATTTGAGAAAAGTAATTGACCTTATTCACAAGTTGGCCATATTAAATTGAAAGCAAGGTTAACTTTTTCACCTTGGGAACTAAAGAATAAAAATGACAGAAAATGAAATCAAACTACGTTACAGATTGATTTCATGAATGATTTTAAATCTGTGATTAAATGTTTTCAGCAAGATTTTAAAAACATCTAACTCAGGATGGAACCCTACATAGTCTGGCACCCCCATTTGACAGATTACACTGACAAAGACAGATTCAGGGAACATGATCAAAAATAGCTTCCTTGTGAATAAGATCAATTAAAGCTGAGAAACCAAAGTCAAAGCTCTTGTTGCTTTACCAACATCATTTGCACGAAAAATCTTTCATTTTATTTCCTGCCTAATGGATCTATTTCTTCAAAATGTGAGAACCATTAGTTGTGAAATTCCCTACCAGAGTTGGCTCTGCTATAAACGCACAAAAACTGTCCTAATTTAGCTGTTAAAACAAATCAGACCAAAAGCTGGTGTTAAGCACACTTTTTACAAACATGACCGGATGAAAAAGCAGTGTTACTGCATGGGTTTGACACATAGTTTGCCCAATTGCTGATGTTGTTATTTCTCGCTGCACTTGTCCCAGGTGCTGGATTATTTTCGGCTGAAAATACCAACTACCAAGATACCACAGCCACAGCCCTTTATAAAGTTGGACTTTAGAAATGCTGACACTTGGTGGGTATACGTTGATGATTTATGCCACAAATTCTTGCTGCATTGTTGCATTTCCATAATTCTGAGATCATGCCACATAGTGATATTTGTTGCAATGCCTGGCGGTGGCCCAGGGCAGTTTGTGTTCACTTTCAAGCCAAGAATGAACCAACACAGAGAAAGTCCTTAAAACCTAACAGAATTAATGCACCTGATTGATCAATATGAAAGATGCTCACCTCTTCTGGCTGATCCGATTGGTCCTTGACCAGCGTGGCCACCATGCTCAATATGGCGTCAGCCTGCTCCGACGTCTGCACCAGGTTGCCATTGTCCAGCGCGCTGTTGACCACATGCAGGCTCATGGCCTTGCGGCCGGCGTAGTCCAGGTACTCAAAGAGGGGGGCAAAGTTGTCCAGCTTGAGCAAGGTCAGTACGTTGCTGTAACTGTCGACAGGGATCTTTAGCATACGGGTCAGCTCCTTGGCAACGGGGCTTGAGCTGGCCAGACTTCCACTGGTTACAGGATTCAACCAAAAACACAGCATGAATCAAATGCCATAGGACACAAAACACAAAGAAAGGGTGTAGCCATCAGTGTTTCCCAGTAAGTATAAATTTTGGCAAGTTTTTCAGCGTCAAAGATCACTGTTAAAAGTGTGAATAAACATGCAAACTGTAGGATGAATGGAACAGTATGACACTTCATGATCTATCAAAGTTGTTATTCCATTTTACAATCAAAACAGAACAAAATTCACCTGTGTGTTTGACAATGAATTGGACACTCCCTTTTAGTGAAAAAAAAAAAAAGAAATCCCTCTCTAGTTTCAATCCAGTCATGGCCTTCACAGAGACTAAACACTATGACCACTGGGGACACATTGAAAGTGACAGTAATACAGTTGGCATAGGGCAGGCACCACTAGTATCCGTTGGAATGTGTAATCATCCATCCCACCCTTAGCCCAACGGCAAAACTTTCCACAAGCCTGTCTCTTCTTTTCCTATCTGCCCAGAGCGAGACCAATTTTCCTGGAAGTGGTGGCTCCTTCGGTGACAACTGCACTACACTGTTTTACGAACAACAAATGAAATCTGTGTGTTGCAGTCACGTCACTATCAACCAGATGAAGCTTGATAGGACACCCCCACTAATCTGGCTCTTTCAAGCGATTAGGGGGGTGCTTCTGCTCAAGGCAGATTGAGGGGGTGCTTTAAAGGTGGTGTACACCATTGGTCTTTAGCTTGGCTGATTACGGTGCGTACTATTCACTGGAACTTACATTCCACTCACTTGTTTCATGTTTGAGTCAACTGCTTTGTGAAAAATCAAGAAAAACAGTGTGGTATTTTCAACGCTTAAATCAAAGGTCTTGTAGTTTGTCTGGCGTAAAATCTATGGATCACAGGGCGTTCGTAGTAAACTTACATGCGAACATCGGGGTCAGGGTGGGAAACAAGCATGACAGGTTCTCATTCCCTTAAAAAGAGCAGTTTTCAATGGCTAGGAGTAAAAAGTGAATACACTTTGGAGTAATGCGCCTCCTCAACAATGTACATGCAGTATTGCGGATTCGTGGAAAAACTTCATCCAGGAACACAGCAGTCAACTCATGTCTGTGACATCGAGACGAGTGGGCCTATATGATAATGCACGTGAGTGCGCGATCATGTTTATAACGGCACTGTCATGTCAGTTCACACGTCAAAGAAAGTCTAAAACTCCATTCATAGTTAAGTCAATAATACTTATAAGTAAAGAATAATAATGTCTTAAACCAAGGGAGAATGAACGTGTGGAAATCCTACTTTTTGTTGACGAAGATCATCATGCTCAGAAACAGCTGCCATATTGGATCATACCATTATTATCTAGGGGTGATTTTGAATTCGCAAAGGTTTCCCATTAAAAAGCCTTTCCTTTAAATGAAATTCAACTTCACACTGATCCAATTTATTTTCTACTTTACGCCTAACACTCAGGTTTCTATAATTTCAGTTCACAGTGCTTTTGGTGAAGGAATGTGGGTAGCTTTTAGCTGCTTTTAGGTTTATCCATTCATTAATGGAGACTCCCACAAGGTCTAGAAACACTACATATAAGAAAATTGGCACCTGTTAAAGGATGTGATATGTGAAGTGAAATTAACTCTATTACCATGGTCGGCCAACCATCGTAAAAAAAAAGAGAACAAATTTTTTGTTTTCTTGAAAACTACAGCATTCTGGGTGGAAATATTTTCCAGACTGATTGAGACAGTTGTGTACTTTCTTTCAAGTAAGATATTTCAGGATTATAGGGTAGTCCGATTTTCGGGATTACACCAATGGTGTACACCATCTGGCATGCATTTCCACCTTTCTGTCAGGTCAGACCAAAGAGCATCCTGAACCAGGGAAACCAAGAAAAATTAGGTCCCTGGACGAAATAATCATCTTGTCAAAGGAGGTGTTTTGGACTTACGGTTCTATGCCGAGTTTTGTGAAGATTTCCACGGTGGACTTGAGCACCTTGTCAATGAAGTCCACTCTGTCCGGGTAGCACTTGAGGGCAAGATTGATGAGAGAGACTTGAAGGGCTACCACGTCCTCTGTTGGCATGTCCTTCCTGGCCTAAAGGGATCAAGGGCAGACAAACAACTGAACATTCCCAAATCTCAACTTTGTCAACTTGTATGCTCATGTAAAGTCCGTAAAGGGGCCAGCAACAAGTCCTTCACAAGGCCAATGACTAGTCCTTTGGCCAGTAACAAGTCCTTTCACAAGGCCAGCAACAAGTCCTTCACGAAGCCAGTAACAAGTTCTTAGGCCAGGAACAAGTCCTTTCACAAGGCCAGTAACAAGTCCTTCACAAGGCCAATGACTAGGCCTTTGGCCAGTAACAAGTCCTTTCACAAGGCCAGCAACAAGTCCTTCACAAGGCCAATGACAAGTCCTTAGGCCAGTAACAAGTTCTTTCGCAAGGCCAGTAACAAGTTCTTAGACCAATAACAAGTCCTTTCACAAGGCCAGCAATAAGTCTTTCATGAGGCCAATGACAAGTCCTTCCAAAAGGCAAGTCGTAAGTGACAGGGTAAAAGTGAGAAAGGAATGCTTCTGTAACAGTTCATTTGAATAGCTTGCGCCTTGGCTTAGGGCTGAATGTCTTGTGATGGATTTGTGGTACACTTGCAGTAGCTTGTGATTGATGGGGATTTCAGTTATACCTGATATTTGCCCTCTCTGAGCCGGATGCTTCTAGCTTGACAAGCAACTATGTTTTGCTCAAGAAATTGCATGCTATCAATTCAAAGACCATAGTGCTTTTCGGTATTAAAGTTTGAACATCAAAAGCCTACAAACTGCTTTGATTTCAGAGGCATGTGCTGTGAAACGAGGTGAATTGACCAGTACTCCCTGCTTAATTTACCTCTATAATAGCCGAGATCTTCTCTGAAAAGATGTCGAACAGCTTGAGGTCTGACGGGATGCCAGTGGTGTCGTCTCTGCAGGCAAACAGGGCCAACCTGTGAACGAAACGTCACATAGAGATAGAATGACCACCGGCTGAGGAAAAGGGAAGAACTTTGTGCACAGCAGTTGGGAAAACTTTCAAAAAATAAACATCATGAACACATGAAACAATCTTTAAGATTTTGCTCTGATACGACAATGAACACTGCAAAGGCACAACGTTGCACTACCTGTCAATGAGAGCAATAATGATGTTCTTAACGTTGACACTGTTATTCAGTTCTGCGCAGGCTTTGAGGAATGGACTCAGAGTTTGAAGGTGAAACTCATCTGGGAATACCTGGAATAGAAGCCAGAACTGGATTAAAAATCACATCCTCAACATTATATTTGTCACTGTGGCTTTAAACATTCTGTCGTGGGATGCGTCTTTGACTAGGTTTGGTTTTTAGCCAGGCACTACCTACCAATCTGGGCAGTTCACAGCAGCGATAGAAACTGGAAAAGGCATATCCTGCTTCAACCGAATTACTCAATTTGAAAACTGTTTCATGTTGTTTGCTGAGCAGGGCTTCCAGCCAATGTACCAAAAAGGTTTGGGGTTACATGCCCTCTACTAGTAAAATGGATAACTGGAACTAGGAACTAGGAAAAAATGGCAAAGTGTGGATGATTGGACTAACCTGAATGATGCATTCCATGAGGTATTCCTGTGCTATGCTATCCCTACAGCTGACACACTGCTCCAATATATCTGGTAAAACAATCTACCCCAAAACAAAAATCAGTAGTGAAAAAGGAGTCTCATTCATTATGACAGTGAACCTACATCAAGTGGTTCTCATAAAAGTCTAACAAGTCACTCTCACAAAAGCATTATGGAACCATCAACTTTACTGGTAGTCAATCCACGACTTGTTGAATGGAAACCATAAACAAACACTGTGCCTTACTTTGACACAAACAAGCACATACTCAACAAAAACCAAAATTCGGTTTTTAAAGCTGTAATACTGGAAATAAAAATGTGATTAAGTTCCCCAATTTTTCAAACATCTCAGTACATGTTCTGTACTTCGGACATTGGTGGAACTTCAAAAATAGCCATCAGTAATGCTGAAAATAGCACTTTTCATTGCACTTTTACGTACACTTTAAACAGAAAAACATTATTCGGTAGCCATTGGCTCCTACTGGGGAAAATTCTAGGGCGCAAGCACTCTTATGAAAGTTTTGTAATCACGTTCGCTGAATATTCATGAACGTACATGTACGTACACACATGTAGTATGAATACTCCGTGTGTACATCGTCCATCCATGCCATAAACAGGTCAAGGGAGGGCAAACAGTGGCATATCCCGGTATAAGGATTATAGGGAGGGGGGCATAAGATTTTCTTCTGTCCATATTTCTTCCAAAAAGATTAAAAAAAAAAAAAATTGTCTTCAAAAACCACCCTAGGTCCTCATGCATGCTGCATTGTGGCACACGCACTGCATCTACACCCAACGCAACATCCTGACTACTACTGCATCCCCATTCATGGACAGTCCAATTGCTGACTTTTCCTAATGACCATGTGACCAAAGAAAGTACTGTCATTAGAAAAACCCAAGTGAAAACAGATCAGACATGTCATGCCAAGCATGATCGGCAAAAAGACGAGATTTGCTACACGAAGATACACGAACAATTAAGCGGCTGATTTTATTTATCGGGGGAAAGAAATCTTTAGGTAACAAAATACTACATGTAGTATCTCAATGTTGATTATTACATCCCAAACAATACCGCGAGAATAAATAAAACCTGCAAAAATAATCACTACAATGCCGCCACAGCAAAGCCACGCAGCCACTGCTCACCGTGGTGAGCACGTGCTCACGATCGTGCTGCATAGATGGCCAGCCCATGGCCCAGTGCGTGTCTGCACTTTATAGCTGTAACCACAGAAAAATGTACACAGTGAATGGGTGTGTAGTTCGGAAAATGAAAATTGAGCGTTATATCGGTAAGAGCGTTATATCAGGGAGTGCTATAACGGGAATCTACTGTATGCCCTAGTCTACGATAAAGCCCCAGCAGCTTTATTAATTAAGAATATCCGAAGTTAACTGGTTAATGTTGAAGTTATTCCCAAATTATTAAACTCAGTGACGGGTTTTAGGCCTACAACGTCCAACGTAGTACAATTAATATTTGCGGTCGCGCCGCGATATTGTGGAAGAGTGCGATTCGATCATTAGGTCCACTCCCATATATGTTCCGTGGTCATCATGGGACAAGTCCCAGATCTTCACTGTTTCATACTTTGCATACTTTTCGAGGTGGATCTTATAAAAAAGACTGAGTTGCCTGCCTTTTTGCAAAAGTAAAATAATTTTGAATAGCCAATTTAAGTTTGCAACGTACGCTAGTCAATGATTACAGTGGAACTACACAAGGGTGACCGCCCGGAAGATGGCAACCAGGGTAGTGGTACTATAGCTAAATATTGAAAACAGTCACAGGTCTACAGATTTATCATCGTAAACCATCGAGATACATTGAATAGTTTGTCGCTAAAATTTTTAAATCGCGATTTCAAGTCGCCCGTCTTTCTGCGTGCAGGTGGTTTGTATTCACGAGTTGTCCCCACTGCTCATGTTTATTCACAGCTCCCTTTGTCTGGATGACAATTACTGTGATTAGTCCAGCCCCAGTTCAGCTCATTAAACTCTGCCATGCTTCAGTGCGCGCGCTCCGGTGCAGGACGCATGTTCTCGCCCTCCTTGACAACGCCCAACCGATCAGGAAGAACACGGGCAAGACCCAGAATAATGCCGCGTTGCCGCCTAAATGGCCCTGGTATCCCTATACAGTGCATCAACAACATGTGTTTAGATCGGGAACCAACCAACATGTGCGTGTGATCGCAACATCTGTACAGTATCGTATATGTACATTTACAAAGCACAACTTGAAGGTCATGACGGTAAGCTTTAAATCCATGATGCGACTTGCGCTGCCATTTCTACTTTTCCGGAACGAATTTTCAGTACATAATCATTGCTTTTCTGATTTTTAAGCATACTTAAAATTGTTCAAGTACATTTTGTATGCAGTTTGTGAGCTATCTTAAATCGCAAATGGTCGCAATATGATGGCATTAGCAAAAATCTGGTCACATTTGTGACTGACTTAAGCGCTATTTAAAGCATTGGCTTTTACCAAAGTGCATTACAATTACAACCCTTGGGTAGAATGAGGCAAGAAGAAGTAAAATAACCTGCCCGAGACTGCTACATGCTGGATTCGAACCCCAAACCCACATATCTCAATCACTGCGACTGCATGCCCAACAGAGGGAAAGCCTCACCTTCTGGTACCTGGCGAGGTCCACGTTCTCCAGCTGGCTGATGCGGACCAGGTTGGTGCCCACCAGGATGCGCAGCTCCTTGCGCTCCTTCTCCCGCCGCTCCCGCTCCCGCGAGTGGCCCTGGTGCTGGATACGCACCCACAGCTTGTTCATCTCACCAAAGTTCAGCAGGATGAAGTCAGTGGAGTCCTCCACCGTGCCCGAGTTATTGTCGCTGATGGAGGGAGTCGACAGATTAGAAAAAAAAGGGATAAGGGAACGAGACTGAGAAAGTTTAAAGTTTTTCATGTACGTTAATTTTTAGTTAATGCCTCAAGGTCATTTTGACATCACTTCTACAAAAATCCAACACAATGTCCGCCTGCAAGCAGTAAATCCATATTTTCTAAGGCACCATTGCAAAATTGCTATCGGTTGACTATAGGACAGGGCCATCCGACCGATAAATAACAATAGTGACTTATGTTGAGTGAATAATGGAGGGGGTGTTGCTCCCATAAAACCACATAGCCTTGGGAGTAATGCCACTTCACTTGATAGCCAACCGATAATAAATGTATCGGTTGGACCGTTCTGTCCAACACCTACCTGACAAGAATTTGAAATGGTGCCTGAGATACATGTAGGTACATGTAGACCAACAATGTTAACTTGACATGAATTCCATGCCTGAGCTTACGCTAATGACTGCATGCCCAATAAACGACCTTAACAACAAAACCCTTTGTTTCACTGAAACCAAACATCGTGGTTGTCTTTCCAGGCATGTCAAGTTTCAACAAGATTGGTCTTGGGAAAGCCAAGATCTACAGGGAGAATAACCCCTCAACATTCAGCAGTGAAGTCTAGAGTTAAATACAGTTGTGCAAGCTCATTTTAAGGCTTAATAATAATCATAATGCTGAGCGCAATCAGCCAATTTGTGCAATCTCTCAATCTTTGCATGATCTTTTGATCTCACTGCATGATTTGTCGATAATTCCGCTATCAGCAAGTCATTTTTTCTAATTCACGGCTGTGGAAGATTGCTCTGAGAATGGGAAGAAGAGATTTTATACAGGATCAACTAAGTGCGCAATGCGATTTCAAGATTGTGCTGATTGACCGATACCATCATTAAATATGCTTACTCTTCTTCCTTCATGCAGTCTGGTAGGATGTTGCGTGTGCACTGGAGCAGGTAATTCCTCAAGAACAGCCCCCTGAGGGGGTGCTGGACCCCCCTACACATCTCCACTAGGTCCTTCATAATATCCTTGCGGGAATGCTGGCTGGTCTTGATGTACACGATGCCTACAGTGATCAGGAGATAGCTGCGAAGGAGAGGAGAAGAAGGAAAGGGATGACAAATTTGGGTTTTTTAATCAAAAGAGAAAGCAAGCACGTTTGCAAAAGTTCTTTATCAATGAAAACACTGGTAAGGTACATGTATCGCCACAGTATTGCCCAAGGGAGGTTGGTTTTTGCAGTGCCATGCAGGGAAAAGTTGACATCCGTAGGTCAAAAAAACCTTTATGCTTAACCATTCTGGGCGCATGCACAATTTTATTCTGTGTGCGAGTAACAATGAGTTTTTAAGAGGTCTCAAAGTGAATAAGCATGAGTAAACAATATTAAACAGAAGATCTCTCTGAAGCCAAACATTTGGCAGTGTACTGTTTTTTAATCAATGCTACTTTTAAACATCAGTTACGTGAGCTGTACATTCTGTGTAGTGTATTGCGATACAAATTCACATGAGTCACAAGTGTACAAAGTGTCTTTTTAACCTCTACTCGGCTAAAGGTCTCAATTTGCTGGCACAGGCTGCTCCCTTATATTCGAGTTTTCACTGATTACATGTACATGTACTTACAGTCTGGGTACTATATTTCCAGCATACTGCACCAATTCATATAGGTCTGATATGCGGTGTCCTTTTTGGTATTCATCCAGCAGATATTGCTCAAGGTATCTCAGCTCATCACAGACCTGCATGTCTGCAAAGAATTCTTGTTAAGGTTTAACAATCTTCAGACTAAGGTCTTGCCGGTTTCTTTTTTTCATTTCTTTTCTTTCAAAGAACTTCACCAGCAGTGGAATATTTCAAACTACAACATCTATGCCTGAATGCCTTTATTTTGACTTTGAAAAATTAGACAGTTACATGTATCTGATGTAAATGGTATTGGGGAGTTACGAGCCAGCTTTCTTTTAGGAGAATCTTACAAAACGGGAACTATCAACAAATTCAACCCTTTCCCCCCAAGCAATGTCCATTTTCATCAGGGCATCACACTGAGTAGCACATCACAACCAGAGCTCTGTTGGCACCAAAATGCAAACTAAAAAATTAAAAAAAAAAACCTTAAGACTCATTTTGTGGGATCCAGTCATACATACGTACAGCACAGAGATTTCTTGCTCAGCACGGACAGGTTACCAACAAAAATATCACATGTCGTGCAATGCTACAGACTGGTCCCCACTGACTTCTGCTCAACACATTAACCTGCTCAGCACTATTTCCTGATCACTGGCCCTACAAAAGGGGTTTTTGGGTACAAAATCCGCATGTACGTGTATAAAGGGAAATTAAATACAAGGATACAGAGCTCATAATAGCTCTTGGGAGACAGCATGGAGGTGCGCAATTCTCCAAGCATGTTGGAGGCATGCTTGAGTCCATCCATCAACTTGCCTTTGTCCTGCAAGAAAGAGTGCAAACAGGGCTCATGTTCCAATCCAAATACTGACGTACCTGTCTGTAAAATTCGACATTTAATTGATTCCCATGGTTTGACAATACATGGCAAAGTATTGAATTGCTATAAAGCACTAGCCCTAACCCACCTCAGTCCAATTGTGAAGGATACCATGCATGAAGGTCATGGGTTAGACCTTGTGTTTGTTTTTGCTTAGTCATAAATAAATTCAGCCCAATGTTTCTTTTTGATCAACCACACTGCTCAAGAATGCCATTCGCATTGCCTCAACATAACGACAGGAATTGATGGTGGAAGTTGAAAGATAGAGATGGTAGGCGCACCTCCAAGTAACATTTTTAAGCAGTTTTAAGGGATTTCGGAGGGAGAATCCAATTTTTTCACCTCCTAAATTGGAGGATTTTGGAGAATTGAGGAGGGTCCCTATCAAAAAGGGCCAAGGGAGGTTAGGGTCCAGTATTTTATCAACTTCCTTCCTTTACTCCTAATGTCCAATATCCTCCAAACCACTGACTGGACCAACTAACTAGTTATTCCTTCTACAAACTGCACCTGTTGCTGAAGTGGGAGACCAGGTACACGAAGTTCAGGACAACCTACACATAGCTCTTGAAAAAAAGTTGAACAGAAGAAAGATTTGGCTGGAATGACTTCCATGACCTCATAATATCTTGTTTCCTTTAAAACCACGTTCTGTTAATTTTCAGCAGGTTTTTTTTTGGGCGGGAGCTTGATTTTGGTTTTTAAACAGAAAATGAGATTTCTGTACCCTATTTGTGCAGTGTGCATATGTAGCCATCAAAAACTTTATTGAATAATTTGAACACAAAATCAACACTTTCCACAAAATTAACCAAGTGTTCAAAATGATGCCACTGTCACCTATGTGTACATCATACTTTAGAGTGTGGGAAAAATGGGGTCCTAAAATACACGACCACTCAGGTTTGGACACAGATGCATTCAAATATGTATAAAAAGGTTGTCAAATAATGCTCTTTCTTCCAACATTTTGACATTGCTGAACTGCACTTTGTTTCTGGTAATCCCCATGGCTGTACTCACCAGGCACCTCTTCATCTGGAAGGACTGCATCTTGACAACATGCTGGGCCTCATCCAGAAGTTTCTCCTGGTCATCCTGGGGAGACTGTCCTGTTTGAGGCTGGAGAAATTTTGAAAAGATCTCAATCAGCTATGTCTGCTCTTCAGTAGGACATTTCCTTCAAATGGAAACGTTCCCAATACCGAGCTCAAAAATCAAAGTTGCCATATTCTTCTTCTCGTGCTATTCAAACTGCTGAACGATTCAAACCGCATGCAAATGACAGGGAGAATATCAAGACATCACAACACACTGGCCAGGTGGACCATTCATAACAAGCATGCGGTGTCTGGACGAGCATGCCGATGACTGTTTCATGAGCATCGCAACACTCAGTGTTCAACTCGATGTAGCCACAGCTACCGAAGATACACTGCTTGAGAAACAGTCACGGTATTGGCGTGCACTCGCCTAAAGCTGAATGGTATGCTTAGCTGGCGCACTGTGGCATTGCCTCTCGATATATTAACATACAGTGTGAATCCCTACATGACAAAGATGGCAACTTCAACCTCGGCTGACAAGAGGGTTTCCGAGGGAAAATTTCTCTTTTCTTACTGAATGGAAGTAAGCACATTAGACAGTTTCAGGACTATTTTGGGAATGAAATCCAAATTTTAATTTCGGGTACAATCTGTGTGGGGTAAAACTTGCCAGATCATGCCCTGAAGTGGTAATTTTTAAAGGGCTTTAACGTTAAGAAGACAGATATGGTAAAGTCCAGGTTACAAGGACCAGCATGACTAGACAAGTTCAGATGTTAGAGCACAGGGCTCATGTTACTTCAGCTCAACACAAACAATTTAGGAGGATTGCACTGACCATGCCGACTGATTAACCATGTTAATTAACCACTTCCTGCCGAGGTTCCTGGTACTGGGCACCACAGGTTTGTACGCACAGAGGGGTGCCCGAAATCGGACAAATGAGCTGGGCCTTGTAACAAAAGACCATACTCAGAACAGAAGACTAAGCTGTAGGGAATTGCCATCATTTTTCAGCTGGCAATAGCGGAGGTAATTCGTCATTGTTTTATTGTTTAGAAACAGTACACCACTGTTTGCGGCATTCAGCGCCCATGGTTTACCAGCAGAGACAAAAGTGCTCCAGCGCTCCAGCAATGAGTGATACAGTACTGCCGCACATTAATCTGGCCGCATTTGAAAAGACACCACTGCTATTCAGCAACGCACTGGGCCAATTTCAGGAACAAAGGAAATTGCAAAACACTGCACAATCTGGGCTCTCTTTTCTGGGCAGCAGGCCTGGCTGCAATACACAGGCGTCAATGGAGGTTGCCTGTCAGATTAGAGTAGCCACCAGACATGCCAGACCATGCAGACTGTCATTCGTGTGGGGACGTCCAGTAAATGAAGTTACGACTTTTTGAAGAGTTTTGAAAATGGAAAATCTTGAAAATCGTCTGGGACCTCGTCCCCCATATGCAAATTTCACCCGGCAGGAAGTGGTTATCAAGCATGACAGACACATTCCACGCCCCCCAAAACGTTGAAATGGACTGTCCGACTGTGCACGCACGTCACCTGCCACTGTATGCTCGGTTGAGTAAAAGCATCGATTGAATGGTACAAATGTACTATTATCACAATTGGACTGATAACAACAATAGCAGTTTGGTAAACTATTTCCTGTCTAAATTAGAGCAAAATCTATACCATCTTGGTCTTCTTCCTCGCGAACCGCGGTGTTGTATCGGTGCACCGATACTGTACCGTACTGTTTTATGTTAGTGGAGCTAATCGCTGGTACTACTTGAAGGAAATAACGCTAGCACTATTCAGAAATGAAATAGACGGGAACCAGTGACTCCTGAACTAGTCTCACACCCAGAACACTTGATGTTTTAAACGTAAGCAAATTGGAACGGGGTCACACTAAAACTGCTGTATTCGTCGCATTCCCTTTCGCCACAATGAAATGTTCATGCACCATGCAACTCAGCTTCGTAGAACCCGACGATTAAAAAGTATTGCGCGTTGTCACGTGCTGGAAATATGAATTATGCACGGTCAGCTCAGTCAGTCTGTCAGTGTCAGATACGTTGACGGAGCACTTTAAACAGAATAAAATTGCATCAGAAAGTAGACAGGTAAAACACTTTACCTTCATGTTGGGTTCTTATGGTGCCCTTAAATTTGAAAGGCATTTTCAAAGGGTTTAATTATGGTAAACGCATTGCTTCATGCTTGGCACTGATCTGCTAATGCTTGCACTTTGTGCAATGTGATTGGCTGAAAGTTTAACTCCAGCCTAACGTAGTCACAAAATGAATTAAAATTAGGTTAGCGCCTCGTGATGTTCTTTGTTAATTTTATTTTTAAATGACCCTATAAGAGACTAAATTGCACTGACCATGCTGACTGAAAGACATAAGATATCTCAATAATGGGTTTACTTTAACATGTTCAACTGTTACGCATAGCCTAGTAACACCACGTTATTTAAAACTAAGGCCCTGCACGTATCATATAGCCCGATTCCTAAAGTTATGTTATGATATAACTTAGCCTAGAGCCAAATGACAATCATGTATATGTACTCTTGGGACAAAGTATCTCTTTTACGACAAAGAAGTGTAAATGTAACACACTTGTCACATAAGAGGAGCACTGTTAATACAAAGGGTTTTTTTAAAGATTTTTCTCTAGTTTGTGACCCTTTTGTGTCATCAGGAGCCATTTACCCTACCTTACAGATTTTGGACGTACAGAAATAGAGCTGTGTATTTGTTTCAAACATGGTCGAAATTTGAAGCATTCTTTAAGATGAGAACTTGAACTAAAAAATGAGGACAGGCCAGGAAAGAGGAAGCTGATTGAAATGAGGAACTACTTCATATTTCACTTTGTCTTGGTTGGTGTGGAGGTTGTCACTATCTTTGACTGATGCTTTGATCATGTTTCTGATGGTATGGGAATACTTCAGAAAACAGCAACTGGGACATTGTACAACTGCCATTCATGAATATTGGTTTTATTGGTCTTTTTCGCTTGTCAAGCTAAACAAACACACATTCTGATAAGATTATCGTTTCATTTTTGGCAAGCACACAAAACGACAGTGTAAAACTTTTACAATTTAGTATTTGTTACAAGTATAGCACAAAATGAGAGACTGTATTTCACATGATGAAATATCACCAACCTATCTTTTTCAATAAAGTACTCAAACTTAACCAGCAACATTGTGTCCCATTCCAATGAAAAAAGTGCAAACAAAAACTTACATTTGTGCAAAATGTCGCATGTTCCAACCCACAGAAATCAAGTGCTAAAGATACATTATGCACACGTTTACAGCGTTTCACTTACACATTTAAATGTACACTCTCCACAATTTCAGCATATGGACAAAAATGCTCTCATGGAAAGTTCCCTTCATTTTAGTGGGAAAACTTTACATTCACTTGCATCAAGTTGGCAAGGGTTTATAAAAGCATTTTGCAGCAAGTATTTCATGAAAAAAAACAGGAACTGAATATCAGAATGACTTTTGAGACAACACTGAGTCCAAATGCATTCAGAGTCAAGCGGTGTCCTAACATACCATGTGGCCATCAATGCTTTAGAAAGCACTATGTTATCAAATAGCACAGACAATTTTAGTTTTGATTTCAAAACTGTTTGTATGAAAAAAATCAGGGGAAGTTAGAAGTACACAGTTGCCTGGGGCCCCATCCTGAGACAAGTCTCATTTCCCCAAAGATTTTCACATTTCTTTCAGCAGAATGTGGTCGACAGAATTAAGAAATAAGATCATGTAAAACTGTCTTTGAAAATTGACTCACCAACATGGACTGCCATATAGGGATGTGCCTCACAGACTGAAATGCACCGTATGGAGCATCAACTCCCAGACTAGAGTTTTTGGGTTACCCTGCTGCTTTGGCTCTTGACTGTTGTGGGATTAGCACATCAAAACCAGCAAAGGACAAGGTAAGGGGAATTTTTTTTCAAAAACCATTTACATAGAAAGTAAAGCATACGAAACCTGAAAAAAAGCAGATTTATTCACGAATTATTTGTGAGTCTGGATAAAGATCATTAGTTTTGTATGAGAAATCAATGGAAGATGGAATTGTACATGTAAATATCCTCTGAGGAAATTGAATGAGATGTCACTGTTGATACCATTGTCACAGCCTTTGCTGCTCCCAGCAATGCTTTTCAGTCCACTAAAGGACTGTGGATTCCACATCCTTACAACCATCTTATTGCAGGATAACACTCTCCATCCTGCCTCATGTCTGATTAACAGAGACCCTGAAGAAAATGGGTCCCTGATATCCAGCTGATCAAGGCCCAAATTACAGAGTAACGACAATTTTATACAGGTGCTTCTTGATTACTGGTATGAATGCATGGTTTTTGATAACAATGTCAAACGTGAGTTTCAATGACTTGAAGCACCGGTGTGTCTCAAGCAATATGGTATTAAGCTAAATAGGAGCCATCATTTAGTCTTTCTTCCACGCTAGGTCTTCACTGAAAAGTCAATGCTGGAATCTGCTGAGGGAACGCATGTCAACCCAGGGATGAAAGAAATCAAGGAAAAAGGTGAGAGATCACTGGATGTGCAGATTTTGCCAAGATTCTGGCACACAGACTACACTCAAAGATTAGTGTTTACTTGAAGAATCTTTTACTGTTTGGTTTATTTTTCACTTCATTTTTCATTTTTTGTACTACTGGTAGGGAAAGAGAAGAACAAGGGCCTCAACGAATCATCCAGGAAGAGTAAAGTCATCTAATATGCTCAGGAAAGATCTGGTGGTTTTTAAGAATGAGGTTCACTTTGTTGTGTTCTGACCATCTTTTGTAAAGTGCCTCGGTGCTGTTGACGGACCTTTTTTGGTTAGTGCTGTTCAGCCAGCCATTCTCCAGCATGGCTGGTGACATCGGCCGTGAGGGCAGGTGGGGACCAGACACCCAGTCACCTCGATGAACCATCTGAAGGAAGGAATTCACCATCCATCCTGCCTGGTGTCTGGTCTGCCGAGGTGTCCTGCTGCCTAACAACACCTGCTAAAGGAGCAGCCCATGGATCACGGAGTAGGATATTGAACAGCCCAGCACCAACCACTGGCCTCTCGATGCCTCCATCATTTATTGGGAGTGCTGGTGTTGCATCCCACACCAAAGCCTGAGAAGGAAATCCTGGAGAGTCCAAGGATAATTTCCTCCCCCTCCAGAGGACGAATTCAACATATTGATCATCAATCCTCTTACCAAGATTCTCAAACTTGTCTGGCAAGCTATCCTCCAATCCTCCAGTCTGGATGGTGACATCAGCTGTGAGGGCAGGCAGTCACCTTGATGAGCTGTCTGATGGCAGGATTTCACCATCCATCCTGCCTGGTGTCTGGTCCGCCAAGGAGTCCTAATATACCACCTACGGGGGTTCCTAACGACACCTGCCCAAGGAGCAGCCCTTGGATCATGGAGCAGAAGGAGGATATCCAGCAGCCCAGCACCGGCCACCAACCTCTCGATGCCTTCACCATCTTGTCAGGAGTGCTGGTGCCGGTGTTCATCCTTTTCCGAGGGGGCATCCCACACCGCAGACTCGGGAGGAAACCCTGGAAAGTCTGCCAGGCTACAGTGACTACCAACACCACCAGCAGACGCTGCCCTGGGATTCCAGCCTCCTGCAAGCTGTCTTACCGAGCCACAGGGACTTCATCTGCCAAACTGTAGTGGCCATCCTACTGCCTGGCATTTCGCCTTCCCCACTAGTCTTGCTCTTAACCGACCCTGTGGGATTTGTGCATCATGAAGTTGAGCTTTTGCCTCGTAACAAGCACCGATTTGGATACAACACAAAGAAGTGGAACAACTTGTCATCTTCCAGACAGGCATGAGTTTTCCTGATGGTACAAACATTGAATATTCTATGGCCCTTAGGAAGGTGAGCTATGCTAAAACCTTGGCTTGCTATCATGTTGAGCTGTGCTTCATTTGTTTTCCATCTTCTTGTTTAATGATACATGTATGATTAATTACTCATCAACACTGAATGCAAAGATCAGGTAGTAAATAGAAACTACCCATAAATTATCACAAATATCACCTGAGAGGAAATGTAGACATGTCATTGCCAATGTCATTCTAGACAAATTTGCAGTTGACTCAGTGTCAAAGTACATGTGAGCCAGGATGTAATGTGGCAAGATGTGCTGAATTACAAGTGCTATCCCAAAAGATATTCTGAAAAAAACAACAACAGCAAATCCAGTAGTTCCACAAAAAGAGCTGAAACCGCATTGCCATCAAAGAGGATGTTTTTGCGACGAAAGTATGCTGGAAAAGTATGCACTGAAATAGCATTATTACCTACAAGAATATCTTGCTGCGCTGTCATCCAGGAATATTTTGTAAGTTTTTGTACTCAAAGAATATGTGCACACCGAATTTCCCAGTGTGGCCAAGACAGACGTGCTGAAAAATCAGAAATCCACAGAAAAATTACCAAAAAAGAGATATGATCAGTTTCGTACCATTTTAGAACTTTGTCAAAGTTGGTAGTTAAAAACATACGGATTGCTGAGAATACTAGGAGACAATAGAAAACTGAATTCCATAACACTCTCTTCCAAATGGTTTTCAGAGGATCAGAATACCTTTAAAGATGAAAGCAAGGCCGTCTGCAGCAGGACAACTGGAAGTGAGTCAAGTAGAGGACAAATCCAGATTTTCAAATGAAACTTAATCTATGTAAATACAGGTGTGATAACAAAGCTACAGATGAGTGTAGTGTTGTCCAAAACACCGGATAATTAACCCTAACCCTCCTCAATCCTTCACCTGTTGGAGGATTGAGGAGTGTTAGGGTTAATTAAAACCTCAAATTAGCAAAATACAATTCTAACCACACTCGATCGACACCCTTGTCAACTTGACAAAAAGATGAAAGCAAATTTAGTGCAAGGTCACCCAAGAGCAAGAGTAACCACCAACAAAACATTGGAAAATCAATATCAACTTTTAAATTAAAGAAAAGTTACAGGCAACATTAAGCTGTAATGTTGGGGTTTAATGATTTTTCATGGCACATCTGTTCCAAAGTTCCAATGGAAAAACATCTAATAGAATTTGGCAAAATAAAATATTTTTGCATGTATGTATGACATCATCAATGTTTATTACATTCGTTCTAACTGAAGTACTAAAGTTTCAAAATATTACAGATTTCTTCAAGTGTTGTCATTCTTTAATTGTTTACAATTAAAAGTAAACATCGGACTGAATCATCTCCGATGATTTACATGTAGCAGTCTTAAAACATTGCTAAAATATGGTGCATAAAGCATACAAATAAAACACACCACTTTTTTGCTAATTAAAGAGGAGAAGCAACTACTTCTAAAGACAAGCACATTTTTGAAAATATACCAGAAAACCCTCGTTGACCTCAGTAATGCCTAAAACAAGTTGGCAAGTGTTATGGAACCTGATGAAGTGATAATGCCCATTTTTTCAGTTCATGTACATGGAGCCTTTGACTTAAAGCTGTATTGTTTGTGCTTTTCCAAAAGATCAATTTTCTTTTTCCATCAAATTTTGAAGAAATTTTGATATCCTGTTAGGAATAAAGTTGCTCAGTCATTCATATACATGTAACTGCAGGCCTTCATGCAGAACAAAAGGTTCCCTTTCATGTTGCGCTTAAGCTTAAAACAGCTCAAAAAGTTCTGAATGAAATCTCTACAGACTGTAACCCATCCATGTATACGATGCCCATACACTGTACACGCGGTAAAAGCATGTGCACATGTGGTTCGGCCAACGTATGAGCAATTGCATAACGTATTAAGCGGAAAAGCGTGGGCTGCCCAGTTTGGAAATATACCCTTTGTCGTTTGCTTTTCATGAAAGCTCCACTTTGTCTTTGCTCACGGGCATTTTTGTGATTTCGTGGGAGCAGTGTCTGACTTCAGCAACATGAGTTGTACTTGATCCATAGAAAACAGTAACAGGAATTACGCACTGCACAGTTTGGAGCTCTCGGTCAGTCCTGACCATTTGGACAATAAGCCATTTGCAAGTTAAATTTGAATAAAATCTGGTGCACCGAATTACCTGATTGCACATAAACATGACGATTTGAATTCCCCAGACTAAAGACACTGTTGCTATACCTCTAATTCGGGGCAAGCTTTCGCACAGCGACCACCATCTCTGGAATGGAAAGGTTCCTTTGTGCCCTTCTTACCCATTGAAAACTGTATTGTTGCAAGGCATCGTTTATGTAAGTAAGCAAAAGCTTGCCCTGAATCATGAGGTATAGCAACAGTGGTTTTAGTAAGGAGAATTCAAGTTGCTAAGTTCACGTGAATTTAAAGGTCTCAGTGTACCAGATTTGGGTCAAAGTTAACTCACAAAAGGCTTATTGAGCAATAATGTCTGTTGACAATTTTTGTTTTGTTAATTGTCATACATGTTGCAGTGCAAATCACTGCTGGGATTTTTCATAATTTCTCCACTGTAACGAAGCATGTAGAGCTAATATAATGCTAAACTACACATGCATGTGGTTCATAGATTATCTTCAAGCAAAGTTGCTTTCTCAATTCTGATTGTTCAATCCATGGCAACAGACAGTGTGACATATAGCTGTGTCACACAGTCCATGTCAAACCCCGCGTAATGCACTATTTTTTTACCCTAAAAGTTAAATGCCCAACTGCAAACCTTACTGTCAGTACACGGCTGACACGTTTGTGCACATAGGCCCCTAAAACATTTTACTGCACGTCAAGTTTGCTTGAAGATAAATTTGTTATCACGCTAGCGCTCCTGGAACACAGAATAATGTAGCGCTTGTTCAGCCTCATGGTATAGTGGACACAGACGCACTACATTGTAGAGTACCGAAGTGAATACGTCACGCGCACAATTAGTGTGTAAAAGGCATTAGCGCGAGAACCAGCGCGTGAACCAACACGCGCGCGTACTCCATTCGTTTGCACGACACTTTCTGGTTCACAGTGACATCACACTTTGGTACTCTTTTCTGTGTTCCACTCGCACTTGTGCGATAACTAATAAAAATAACTCTGATGACGCACATCTATGGCATGCATACACACGTGGCAGACGTGACATTAGGCTGTACCAGAGATGACACACGTGGGCGAGGAGTCTGAGATCCAAGATGCTGTAAGACAAAGCAAAATTAGTTTACTCTCAGAATTCGACATTTCCACTAAATGTTTGTGACTGTCAAGAAGTGTCCTTTTGCTGAAAGCCAGTGCCACAACATGTGCAGTATTAACAATGTGTTCGTCGCCTAATGTCATAAAGAATTCTGTGCTTATACAGTAATTACATCAACCCTCCTGTGCTTGGGGAGCTTTAAAACAGAAATGCTGTGATGACCTCTTATGATAACACATGTGTATGTATACACATGGTCAGTAGCACACCAAAGGGGAGGGGCTTAATTATATGAAACATGTTGGGCCAAGATGATCATGGCTGTTCCTTTGCAATATTACAGCAATCATAAACAGTTGTTAAAGTAGATCCGCCCATGCCATTCTGAAAAAAGTTTCCTGTTTTCTGTGTTGGAACCGGAAAGCACACCTCAAAGTTCTTTCATAGCCCAACAAGTTTTCCATTGCCCCCCAAAAGCCCAAAGCGATGCATTTCTCATATCAGTCCTGATAAATTGAGCAATGATGATCCTTGCAATGAACATGATGAATTAGTAAAAAATTAATCCATATTTGATTTCTTTGAAGCAACTCACTCCACCCAATATGATTGCGTAAGCTGAACTTTTAAATGGGTTACATGTACAACCTGAAAAGAATTCCCAGCTCATGCAAGAAACCCAACGATGTTGAGACATGGTGCACCACATACACATACTTGGGTTATTGCAATTTGAGTGAAATACAGACTGACTTTTTTTCACATGATAATCCAAAATGAAGTCTTTACATGTAATTCAGACTGTTAAAAATTCCACAATGACAAATAGCACTTTGACAGTCTAGAGTATAGTCTAGAGAAAAATGGCAAAACATGTTTCAGTTTGAAACTTTTGAAAGTCACTGAGTAGCATTATAAATGTCTGAAAATCTACAAATTAATAAATATTGTCAACCATGTGCGTTTTCAGCCATTTCCCCATTTCTACCAATACATGTGTCTTTGACATGCGTCTGAGCCAATTTCCACCTGGTTTCAACATACATGTACCACATCAAATGTGTCCATTTCACCACGTGTAATTGATTCTGATTGACGTGGGATTTACTCACCTGGTATTGCCAAGTTGGACATCTCCTCAGGTTTCTCCAAATGATCCACATTGCTGTGGCGAAATGCCTTGGAAACATTGGATCCAAAATGGCTGCCATGACAAATAAAACAGCAACTAAAACCTTATGTGTGTAAGATTGATTTCAGACTTCACAAATGTACTGGTGTATGTTTCCTCATGCTTGGCAAGTTTTTAAAAAAGACTGGCTGTTGGACCACAGGAAGGGGTGGAAGCTTCCCTGCATTTCCAAACCCCAACCATCCTCGCCCATGAGAAAGTCACATATGCATGTCTAGATAACTGAATGGAAATGGCAAAATAATGTTATATACTTATGTTGCTCTTGAATAGAAGTTGGAAATGACACTTTAAGTGTTTTGTTATTTTAGTATCCATTGTTTGTATGAGTGATGAGGAGTGTTTTTCACCAGTATGAATCCAGAACGAATGATGTTTGGTATCAACTACAAATGCTACAGAAAATACAGAGAAAAACTGACTTTGTTTCACTTCAAATAAGGACGCAAAAATGGAAGTCTTCGTGCATAAAGGAACCTTCCCTAAATTTCCGCAGCAGAGAATGCATGTATCCTTTACATTTGTTAATACATGTACATGACTCCTTCGAATATACAAGTAGGTGTACTCAACTTCTAAGCAGGACTTAAAAATGCAATTTCCAGGGGTGTGAGTGGCCAGCAAAAATCAAAACAGCTACAGTAGCAAAAAGCTGAAATGTAAAAAGATCCAATACTTTTGTACAGATCAGTTGTCCCAGTGTGTCGGCGGAAATTCTGGGTCAACATCTAACCAAAAAAAGCTGAAATCAACTAAAATGATGAATTCTCACACCCCTGAATTTGGTGAAACTGGCAATCATGGGTCCGTGTCATTCTTTTTAGAAACTCATGCTACCAGAAGTGCTTTTGAGAGCACAACTTACTTCTTCCAAGACTCCTCCGAGTCCCACATTTCATACAGGACAAAATTGCTCGTCCCAGAATAGGATCTCACACTCAGGCTGAAAAAAAAAGAACTGCATGTGAGTACATCTACCATTTGCAAGCTATATGTACAAGTGATCAAAGTTGGATCTGTTTTACAGATAGCCAACTATGCAAAGTGTGCAGAGAATCAAATTTTTTACTCTGTAGATTGAATGGATAAGAAGTTAAAGAGGTACGGAAATGAAAAGCCCTCTTTCCCCAATCATAACCTTTAAAAAAGAGGTGGCAAGACCGTCTTCCAAAATTAACATGAAAAAATGGACCAATTTTCCCATTTATGATCCAAAAAATGTCCAAAAAGTAGGCTTCCGCAAGTCCCTTTTTTGCAAATTTGAGAAACACTCATTAAGTATTAATGATATGCCGGTGACCCCCAAACTTCACAAGGTGATATGGGTATAAACACTGTGCATCTTCACATGGAGGTCTCATGGTGGAGGCATGCTCAAAATGCAATGGTCTTGTGCGGTTCTTGTCCACTATGTTGATTGTTCCATACAGGTACAGTACATCAAGTTTAAGTCCATGATTTGTAGTGTTTTTGTCACAAAATAAAACATAACCCAGTCTTGTGCAGTTCAGACAGGAGACTTGTACGTACACTAAGACTTGGTCTCGAGGTTTCCATGCAAAAATTAGTAGAATGATGATGTGTTAAGGGCACCAAGTCAAAAGCTATTCAATTGATTGGCAACAGCACAAGTGAGACTTGAGGAAAAACTGAAAAATCCAGAAAAAAAAGGCTTTCTTAAGTATGTTAAGTACGTCTCTCCATCATCCAATACAACAACTGGTCGCACCATGTGTACCTGCACTGTCACTGCATGTTGATTTTTTTCAATTCAATTCCGATAATATTTGCCTGTTTCCTCCTGACTTTAAACCTCAAAAACTTCCATAGAATTTTCAAGCCTTCGTTGAGTGAAAGGTTGATGACTTTTAGAGCCTTGTTGATTAATCAAAGCAACAACTGATGGACTGTATGTGGCCAAAACAAAATGGCACCTGAGAAGTTTTCTGTAAACACCGACAATGGTGCATAGTACACGTACAAAGCCAGAAGTTGTGCCGAATCCTTACTGTTTATACCTCCAAAGCTCAGCAATATTCCATTGCATTCACAACACAGGTTTTGTGTGGTCCTGAGAAGAACCAGTCATTTCAACTTGATATTTCGTGCAGTGTGATCTCCTTATGACCAACAGAGCATGCTGTTCAAAAGGTCAAGTTGAGACAAATGGGTCTTCTCAAAACCACACAACTCAAAACAGATATTAACTTCCAGGGTATTACAAACTTACCGCAAACTCTCCATACGTTATAACACCAGTATCTTCACCTTATGCAAACAACATGAAGATCGACCAAAGAAAACTAATTTTCAGCCTTGTCTGAGTTTGTGGAACAGTGCACAACACCAATCTTACTTGAGGCATCCGTCGTTTTTGGCAGCTGCCTCCACGTAGGTCCTCAGAGTGGATCGGAAGGGCTTGTCCTCAGACTCCAGCACGCACAGCTTCCTGGCCACCAACATTAGCTGACAAAGCAAAACCAAGCATGCACCTCCATGAATGTTATTAGAATAATATTAACCCTAACAGCCAACAGGTCTTTTCTGGGTACCCTACCGAACCCAGCAGAATCCAACAACAGAAATGGTGTGAAGCCTGCTGAACCTGACGGAATCCAACAGCTTGAGCAAAATGCCTCCTTGTTCACTACTCACAAAAATCCCCTCAGAAAGTGACCACACATTGGGTTTAGCACAGTTAGGGTTAAAAGTGGCCACATCTTACTTTCTACAGTACTGCAATCACTCCTAGTCAGTGATTCAAAAGGAGACATTTCTCTAGAATTGAAAAATAGGGTGTTTCCACAGTGCCAACGTTTTACTTTCGTGTACCTTTGCAATCCCAAAAAGGTGTTCAAAACAACCTATGGAAGGTCCAAAAGATGCTCAGATTAAACCCTGCAGCTAGACTTTTGGCCCCCATACATGTATATGTACGACAAGCAACCCACTGCACCAGTATCTTTCCCAAATGCAATGTCCTCCACATCAAAGAAAAGTTTTATGTGAAGAGTAGTGTGTGGTAAATTCCAATACACCCCCCTGCCTCATTTTTTTTCACTGCCTGCAGTTCTGCCAATGTAGTGCTTAGGGTTAAGTTTGGATTTTTTTTTGGCCCTGCCTGACTTGTATTTTAGTGCTGAGGACTCAATCAGACAACAAACAGTGATTTCTGTTTTCTACTAACCATGTTGCTGTCATCTTTGACAATCTCTTCATCCACAGGGTCAAGGGTCACTCTGTTCTCAAGCTTGTCCAGCATCTCCTGAAGGCGGTTCACCTGGGTGAAGAAAGCATTCATGCCTGGCAACGACAGCACAAAATAATTCCAGATTAGCTCAGGAAAACATACACGTACAAGACATAGACCAAACTAAGTTTCATTCTCTCATTTCATCAAAATTCGACAAAATCATCCAAAATGTCCATCTGCCAGTTTTTGTTGAAGTGGTCTTGCTATCGGAAATACATGTGCCGGTAACAGGGCTGCAGTGGTGATTATCATTCAACAAAGTCTGGCTGCATTCTTAACTAACTCACAACAGCAAAACTTGTATTGGCACTGCACAGAAACAGGTGAGTGGCTGCAGAAATGTGCACATACCCGAAACTGGCTATGACCTGTATTTCAAATTTACTAGCTGGAATCCTCAATAATCTCACCGATAAGCGCTACCAAAAAATAACATCGGTACAAAAATTAAGGATGGAAATCTATGCTTATTTCTTAAAATGTTAGCTTAAGCAAAACTTTCACTGGGTGGTGCGTGTATATTGAAAACATTCCCCATACAAACTCACCCAGCCTGGTTAGCAATACATGCATGTGCTAGTCATTAAAAATGATTTATGTAGACATTCCTGACATGTTCAAGGCGCCTCTGTACTAATTAAGCAACTTGACAAATTTTGGTTGCATCTGCCATTCATTTAAATCCCAAGAACACATGTTCATAAAGCAAGCAGGTACATGTACAAATATCACATCCATATGTGAATGCATCTGTTCTTACTTGCACTGTCAAAAGGAATGCTTGTCTGGGTTGACAGCTGTCGTTTGGCACGCCGAGCTAGCCAGCCAGCCTTGGTGCTGACAGGGGGTTCGTCAAAGTGAACCTGAGTCTGCCCAGACCTGAAGCAGTGTTGTGAATAAAGAAACAATTCCATATGAACATGTTATTCAAACATTTTATGTGGGCGTACGTTTAAAAATTTCTCAATGTCTCTATGCAGTATGCAAATATACAACAAAGCACCATGATACAAACTTTCTGCACCCCAGCAGTAGCAGCAAACTTCAAGACGCAAGACACACTACACAAGATGTTTATTTTTTAACGATATATTGAATAATATGTTATGGGCCTTGAGCTGGATCAATAGAAGGCACAATTTCCTTAGCAACGGAGTCTCTTTTGGTTTGAACTGAACTTCACTGGTCCACAAATGACTACGAAATGCATACTGCACATGTATTACGGTTCCATCGCTACCAACCAAATGAACACGCCCAACCAATATGGCTCCTTTCAACTGACGAGGGGGTGCTTCTGCTCAAGGCGGATTACGTGTTTGCGCAAAATGAAAGCAGCTTTAGCATGACAGTCACGACAATACCATCATAGAATATTATATTGTGAACAATATAGTCCGCACAATTTGTTTCTATTTTCATACAATCTGATTTGTCACATTATACATGTAGGTTAAAAGTATGAATGAAGGAAGACTGGATGACCATGCAGCACTGCACATACATGTACATGTATTGGTGAGAGACAGTGGGGGATCTTGGGGGATTCTTCCGAACCCCCATCCAGTCCTTATTAAAATGTTATGGCACACACCAAAAAAAAAAGTTCAAAACTTTATTTCAAAACTGCCTTAGAAGGCAAAAGAGATTTCAAAGTGTGTCAGGGGAGGGGGTGCCCCAGACCAGCTTCAGAGGAGCAGAACTTCATAACACCTCCCTTCCCCATTTGTTGAATGCTACATGTACATGTGCACATAATGTAAATGTACCACCCCTGATGAGCAACACTACATCTTGTAACTGTGCCAAGTCAAGTGCAGCTTCTCAAATCCAACACAATCCAACAGCAGGAAAATAGGTCGGTGCTGTCAGCAGCATCTGACAAAACCTACTTGCTCTTGGCCCTTGTTGAATTTGTCAATGAAGGGGTTTCATTCAAGATCTTTGCCTTTGTTGAAGCTGAAGTAAAAAATTATGAATAGCACCAGCACTTCACACAAGCAAGACTGTGACCTTCAGTCGAGGGAATGAACTTTCTGCATGGTTAACATAATGTGGCCAACTACACTGCAGTGACATGCACAAAACTCATGACCAAACGAAATGACAACTTTTGTAGCTTTACGTAATAGTTACCGAAGTTTTACACTTGAAGGAAATAACATGAAATGGTCAGAACAAGGAATAGTAAGTTGAATCACTGAGAATAGCAGAAATGAGTAGCCTTTGAGAAGAATGACAGTGAATTGGAGAACAGAATTGGGTATCGTCTTCACCAGTGCCTGATCCCTGCGAAAGTTATTAACATGTCTATTTATATTGAGAAATCAAATGGTAAATAATGCTTGCATTACATGAGAACATCCCTAATCTCTAATGAAATCTCATCATCCTGAAGGCCATCTCCCATGAATTCCAATAATGAAAACAATTTCGGTTTTTCAATACATGTAGTTTATGATATCGGTATTTAGCCTAGACTTTCATTCCATACTAAATAAACCTCAAATTTCGGAGCCATTCCAAACCCAAAGTGTACAAGTCTTATCCACCATGCAAATAGCTGAAGAGAATAGCAAGCTGAAAAACAGAGAGCCACGTGCGAATGTGATGTTTTTTGCAAATCTGGAAATCAATTTCTTTGAAAGTAAAATGTACGAATCATCTCAGCCTATGTAATCAACTGGGCTTCGCTGTAAAAAACTGGTGTGAGATGAAGATATTTGAAGTTTTTGCAATTGGTGTTACCTTGTGTTACCTTCGTCATCATCACTGTATCAGCTCAAAGGAATGAGAGATGTACAAAATATAGAAGACAGACAGGAGGAAGGGAAATCCAGACAAAAAGACGGGAAACAAATGCATTAATATCTGCTTTAAAGTAGGTATTAGAATTACTGAACACTTGTTGCAAACAGCACAAGTAAATTACACAAGCAGGATGACTGCATCCTTGAATTTCCAGTATTTGAAACTCGCATGACGGGTAGGTTCATAACAGTGAACGTAAAAGTGAAAAGGGAAATTTGACGGCACAAATCATTTGCAGCCCAACTCAGTACAGTCAACTCTGCATGCAATCAACTCTGAAAAATCACGGTCATGCTGCTGTCACAAGCTGGTGTCCAAATTTACTTTTGTGCCAAATACATGCGTGAGCCAGCCTTGAGACTAACAGTTGGGACTACCCTCAACTCACTGTTGCATGACGGGGCGATCGTCAACTCGTCTTTTATGAACTGAACTACATTTAATACTGAGAGCTACATGTACTGTATTTGCCAGGGAATCAAGCCAACCTTTAATTTAATTTATTAAAATTTATACTATTCAATCAGGTCATAAGCTTCAAACAGAACCAAGGCTGTGTGCAATTAGTTCTTTGCAAGCTGCCACTATAGGCATGCGGAGCCTCGAACTGGCAGATTGTACAATCACGTCAGAATCACCCTGTCCAATCGCAATCTAATGAGCATGCGCAAAATTCCATTTTAAGCAACACACATGTACACAGGAATCACTGAACCAGCTATATTTATTGTGTTAAGCTGCCAGATCAAGATGCAAAGCATGCACAGAGCAAATGGACAGTGATCAAAATACTAAGTATTAACAAAAAATATACAGTAGAACGCCGCTATAATGCCGCAAAAAATCACGAAAACAGCGAATCATAGTATCACAAGAGGGTGCACTTCAGTTAGACAAGAAAGGGTGCTATTCAACAAGGCAACAAAACGTTTGGCAATTAATTTCGCTACGGCCACTGTACCGAACATTTAGCATGGACCCCGTCATGTTCGTTATAGCGGCGTTCCAATGTACACCTCAAAGGGGCAATAAATACATGTAAGACCCCTAAAGTTAACCAGCAAAGGCTCATGTATTTTGTATAATTTTGACCTGTGGAAGGTGCCTGTTTCTTCAATACATGCATGTAGCCTTCACCTGTTCTTCACTGCTTCCTCTTCCAAGTGGTCCGATGCTGCACCAATGGTCCCTAGCAGTGCTGCCAACTGGGTCTGGACTTCCTTTAAGAGGAAGCGAACGCAAAACTGGTCCTGGAAGTTCTTCTCCGGATACTCCTGATGAGTAACGCAGAGTGGGAATGCATGGCCAGACTTTTGTTAATAGATGCCAGCATTATGAAATATTTTGTCACAGTAGTTATCTTTCATAAACACTGAATAAATGAACAAAATATTCTTAGTTTTGTATATGGGAAACCAACAGAACACACTGGTCTAACGAGTATTGTCAAGATTTTTTTTTTCACCCAACTAACGATGAGAACAACCAGTTTAAAGAGCCACAAACTCACCGTGGCAGTTGTTTGCAGAGCTGTGGACACGGAGCTATTGATGTCCTCCAGTGCGGCAAATATCTCCCTGTAAGGTCCAAGATGCTTTGAGAAGTATGCTGTTTGACAATACGGAAAAAAGGGGAATATTGTGGCAGTAAATAAAAACTGTTTTAGCCTCAAATGAATTCCAGGTAATTCTGGTGGCATAACAAATTCTTTTGGACTGCATATTGTGTTCTTCAAAAGTACAGTTGCGTTAAAAAAGTTCTGATTTTTCTGATGAGGCAAATCAAGATCGGAAATACCACTGTTTACTAATCCATCAAATTTGGACAATACTTGTAACAAGCAGCACACATGTACACATACATGTACTCTTAACTTTTGCTCAAAATAGACTTATGATGTACAAGTACTTTTTAACAGGAAGAATTTTTGAGTGTGCGGAGCCAAAAGATCTGGATCACAAATCCCCAAGACACATTTCACAAACACCTTGGTGTGAAGGTAAGAATAAAAAGTGTTAATACAGTGTTTCTTATGACATCAACTGTTGCCAATCAACTTACTGCAGAGTTCTCCAGTGTCAATGTTTGTGGTGTTATGGGTATCAATCTCATGAAACAGCGTGTCCAGTTCACTGGAGGTCAGTACGCCATCAGTGAAGAAAGATCGAAACTCATCCCATGACAGACAGTTGTCGTCTGGAGAAAAGGGAGTCAGACAAGTCAGTACCGATACATGTACATGAAGTATTGTCCTCTCCATGCACCTTCGCTGATGTCATCTCAATGCATTTTTTTAGCATCTCAAGACCCCAAAAGACCAACACCAGACCTCCAGGCTGAACACATCTCACTAAATAAACTGCAACAAAAGCATTCCCTTGTCAACATTGAATGTGCCTGTGACTGCCATTACGTCTGACATTGTATCTGGTCTGTCTTTACTACTTCACATGAAATCTCTTGTGAGGTTCTTCATCTGTTTTCTTCCAGTCATGTCAAATCTATTTTTTGTTCTTTATAACAGGGCATACCATTCTTGAGAAGTGCTGCTCTTTTGAAAACAACTTTCCCACTGTCAAGGATGAAAAGTGCCAATGGAAGGGCATGCATGCGCACACAAGAGGGTGAAAAAGAAAGGATCTTAACCGCAAAAATGAAAAACAATGTTTAAATCCTTCATCCCAATCCTTGGATTGGGTTGGATTGAAACGGACAGAAGCAGATTGAAACATGAAACAGCCATGTACCATGCATGTAAATTAGCAAAAATAATCCGGTACCAGCTCATCATGGTCAAATATCCACAATTACAAAACGATTTCAACCATGCCTTTTTAGAGACTAACCACGGAGCTATGTGTAAAAACTACATGTAGAGCACTGACTCATGTACAAAATGATGTCTGCTGGGCGCATCCATGTTTGTGCAGAAGCCTAGGGCAAACTTGAAACTTTATGTCACTTCTGTGCGGCTATTTGCACTTGTATATCTGCATCTGTATTCTAAAACGACGCGTCAACAAAGCCGATACGCAAAAAATCTACATGTTCATGTAAACACACATTCAGTAAATGAGGTTTCATTTTGCGATGCATAAGCAATGTAAATGCATGTGCAAATGCGCTGCAGATAATTCTGCCATGACTTTTTTAATCAGATTTCATTGGTGGCCGATGAAAGTAGCATGCAGAGTACAGGATTCAATACTCATTTTGTCCGATTTCAAACATTCTGCAGGCACATGCATGGATTCAAAATGTCTGCGCCCAGGGCAGAATCAAATTTTCTCTGCGCGGAGGATGAGAAGTTAGCATTCTATAGTAATGCTCTATGCGGTTAACACTGAATGATCAGAACAAATAAAATCACTGTTGACTGGTTTACTGTTTCTCTGTTCTGGAGATTTAGTCCATACAGTGTCCCCCCCCCACCAAGAAAAAGGACACAAAGAAAACTTTACCATTTTTGTCTGCCCGTCGAAACACCTGCAAGAGATTAAAACATGTACATGTAAGACGTGGATAATATTAACACCCCAATACAGTATTGCTCCATGTAAGGACTTTCCTTGGCAAATGTTCCTTTTTGCAGTCCATTTTTTTCTGGTGTAGGCCTCCCTGTACATGTATTTGTCTCCGGTTAGTTTTGTTCTTGAATTTTCATGTTTCACTTTCTAGTTTTGAAATTCTCCGTATTTGTGTCTTGTTTTCCATGGCAGATTCTGTGTTTAGTGCAAAATTGCACTGTTGTTATTGGAGAGTCTCTAGATTTCAGCTTTTTTAAAAATTTAGCTTTTTAGGCAAACTTGCAGGCATGCGTATGGTACAATATGAAGTTTTGTTTATATTTGTGTTGATTTACATGTACCGATTTCCATCCCCCGTACCCCACCTTTTGTAGTTAGTGTTGGGGCCTTATTAAGATTTGCTTTGTTCATTTTTATTCTTGTGAATTGTAATTTTTAGTAATACATTTCAAACCGCATGTGTTTAGTTTCGAGTGCTAGCACATTACATCTGCAGGGTATACGGTCTTAAGAGCTCAGTGAACCTTATCGCAATGTGCAGTCAGTACATGTATTTCAATCTTGTGCACAACTAGTGAGTACATGTACATCAGTCATCAATCTTTGTCATATTTTTTGTGGCATACTCAACAATTACATGTAATTCTGGCCCAGCCAGATACTGGCCTATTAAAGGATAATTCATAAATACTTCAGACAGTCTCCCTATTCAACAATGGCAACTTGGCCCTGTATTAACATTTGACGATGCCCACTGAGAAGTGATAATGCCAGCTGCATAAATCATGTACTGACACCTAGATGCGAGACAGTTTAATCGATTCTGATTGGTCAAGAGTCTGTGTGCACTCGGCTCACCACACGTGCGCCAAGTCGGTATACGGAGATTCTTTTGGACAGGCTATGTTTTTCCATCTACCTCCATGATGTAACATCAGTGGGATATAATCGTACATGTACATGGTGGACTCATTCTTTTACTTACTTATTAGATGTCTGAAACAATAGTTGAAAATGTCTGCTTTTTTGAGTTCTAATCCCCGAAAGTTATAACCATCCCAATAGACCTGAACTGTCATTCAAAATTTATGTTAGAAATTCCAAATGTCCCTTGCAAATTTTTTTTCAGTTGTATAAGAACAGCAAAAAAATTGAGACATTAATGCCAACATAATTATTCACTGTATATAATAAATTGTCAAGCCGACTGAGTCACTCCATGGAGGACATGGAGGAAGGACCTTCCTCCATGGTGAGATCGGGAACGGAGCGGACATCAGACCCCACAGTTCTTGGGGTAGCCTAGCCCCACTAGAACTAAGTAGTAGTGTGGCACGGACTCTCGCTACCGCTCCATCCTTAGCCACACATCCGTAGACAAAATTTGCGTGTCGGCGTAGTGAAAAAGTTCGATTCACCCTCTAATAATAATTAATACTAGTACCAGGCCTGAATGTAGGTGCAACACTAGTGGGGCCGGGGCTAGGGGTAGCCATGGGGTAGCCCGACTAGTGTGGCACGGACTCTCACTCCCGGTCCATCCTTAGCCACACATCCGTATACGCAATTTCGAGTCACATTTTGGCGCACCCACTTATCATCGTGGGCACAATTTCTTTTGCACACGAACATGATTCTTGACCTGTCCGCTTTCTAAAAACCATGCTTTCACTCACGTTATTCAGATATTTTCCAGTCTTTTTGCCTTTATCCATTCAATCCAACGGGCTCACTCTCACAGTCGCCATCTTTAAAATGAGGTCGTTGAACATTACGTCACTTGACCCCTCATCGTCTCGACGGCTGTTTCATGTCAAGACATATGTAATACACGGACTAAGCGATAAGATACTACATGTACCAATGGGCTCTTCCAAAACTTTGGCACCAGTTTAGATGTTTACTGATGTGGATAATGGCAAAAAGACTGGAAAATACATGTACCTGAATAACGTGAATGAAATCATTCAATAAATGGTTTTTAGAAAGCAGAAAGGTCAAGAATCATGTTCGTGTGTAAAAGAAATTGCGCCCACGATGATAAATGGGTGCGCAGAAATGTTCAATACGCCGACACGAAATTGCATGTACGGATGTGTGGCTAAGGATGGACCGGGAGTGAGAGTCCGTGCCACACAAGTGGGGCCAGCCACGGGGTAGCATAGCTTATAAAGTTTCCACTTACATCCAAAAATATTGACATTCCCTTTTCCTTCTCAATCGATGCCATATCTTCCTATCAAGATCAAAATACACGCTTGATAAGAACAAACGCTTATTAAACTTTTATCGATTCTGAGCAAAAGCTAACTTGCGCAAAGCGCACAGTCGAGTAGTACCACCAGTGCACCCTTCCTTGCTTGGCTAGCAGTCTTACCTTTGCCGAACTCTTGAGGGCGCTGTCTTAAGTCAAGAGGCAACTGGCAGTATTATTTTCTACTCAATGGACCAAAGCCAAAGTTAAAGGGCATTAATTTAATTAAAAGGTAATAGAAATAGAAAACATTTAGTTCACGTGAAGTATTTTAAAATAACAATAAATACGTGACCTTTTTAAAAAATCATAAATTTAATGTCTCGGTTTCGATGCAGATATGCACAGACGGCGCTAATGTGAAATCCCTCTTCTTGGAGATCGTTCCTTTAAAAGTATGAAGTAGTTACAAAAGCAATTATAGCACATTCAAGACAGCCAATGTTTTTAGTCTTAAAAATAACTGATGATAAAAATCTGCATGTCAAGGTTTGTCACTAGCTATCTTGACTAATTTGATAACTCATCTTAAGACTCGACACCCAAACTGAAAGTCAAGGTCACACAGCGAACTAGGTTGAGGTTATTTATCCAACGTTCTTGTTTCTCATTTAACTTTTTGGGAAAGAGTGCACATGCTCCAAAGTTGAAGTATATATGCTGCCGAAAGGAAAACGCATAGGCTCATGTTTCAACGAGCTTACAATACTGAATCCAACTTCGCCTCAGGAAATAATTCATGCGGCAATTTTATAAAAAAACAAACACATCAGATGAGTTACAACGGCGAAATCCTTTTTTCCTGCTGATCAACTGTATATTGCAAGTGGAAGTTCTCCTTCAATGATCACCTTGTCTGAGTTTTCGTTGTGGGCGACAAATTTGAGTTCTTTATGGTCATAACTGCGTGTTTTGAAAGGACTTTTCCAGCAATTTTTTGGTCCCTTAAAATTTGCGAGTCATTTATTCGTCTTCTTGTAAACGTTATTTCGACGGTTACTAAGTGGAGGTGTTCCGAAGCAGACAGCCAAGGGTAATCATGAAAGCTTTACTCGTCGGGCTGATATGCGTAGCCGTCGCCAGTGCCGACCTCGCACCTCTACTCACGTCTGACGATCGTCCTATACCCAACAGTTGGATAGTCAAGATCACGGTCAGTAACCCTGTGCGGATATAATCCAGTGGCGTATGAGAGTGGACAACAGACCCATTCTGCCTGGTTAATATGAATGATTTTTATATTCTTGCATGGAGGAAAATTAAACTTTCTCAGTTTTATTTCATTGACGAAAGCCCTGTTTGATTTTTGTGAGTGTGTGTCCTCAGCACACCAGCCATCCCTTAAAAAAAAGATGTTGCAAGGTATTTCCGCATTTAGCTTCACATTTAGTCACTACTGGAAATCAAGCCGCAGAAAAAAAGCAATAGACATTCCGATGTGAAGACTCCTTTTTGTCATGGGAATAAATTCTGGAAGGAATGGGGTTTCACTCCCCCTCCCTTTCCGACTGAGGATGAATCATTTGATTCCTCCTCACGTCTTGGTTGCCAGAAACAAAAATGCGTTGCGTGAGGTTAATCTTAAGTTTCCAACAAGTTGAACACAAACTTTAAATGCTGCGTTTTGACTTAAGGTTATAAAGGCATCCCGGGGCGATCTGACATCGGAGATCGGATCTGACATCGGAGATCTGCATCTGCATATTGAGCAGGGTGCCCTAGCGTGATTTAATGTTCACACTGCTTATTTGTTTTTAAATCTTGACAGGGTTTTGAAGTAATGGACCGCGTCGCTCATGAGATCGCGAACCGCTTCAGGAGAGTCCGTCTCCCGTCTCCGCGAGTGACCAAGATCCGTTGCGTCTTGCCGGTTCTCATTCTGCGAATACCTGCTCGTTTAATGAATGATGTAAGATTGAGAGTTTTCGGATTTTAAAATGCGAAACTTTTGTCAATATGATTTGAATTTCAGAAATGATTACACACCTTGTTCTTATGAACAGTAATCAATTCAAGAAATTAAGCTTATGAATGATTTATCTTATTTTGCCGAGAATACAGAACGGACGCTAACCTTGATATACAAGACCCACTGAACAAATTCTTCTTATTAAAACATATTGTTTGATAATAACAGCAATCTAACTGAATGTGATGTCGACCTGGTGGACGATTGTAGATGTACAATGTACCGCTATCATTTTGAAGTTAATCCTCGTAAAAGCGATATGTGCTATTAACTTTTAAAAAGAACATTCGTGCTCCACTTGTCCGAGGCCACAGAGTATGGTCATCAGCTGGATTCGAACCCTCTGCTCTCTGAAAACAGGCAACGAAGCTTAACCACGCTACATTCCCCTCGAGGAAAGGATAATCATTTTTCTTGTCTTTTGCCTCCTTCTCGAGGTTGACTTGAGAAAATTGAGTCACACTGAGCTTTATTCCGTTAAAAACGCAAATATTTTCTCTCGCATTAAACGAGGACCACTTGTTCAGATCTTCCTCAAGCCACAAGTTTAAAAATTGTTCTCCGTGTTCACACTGACCAGTTCCATGGTTTAAACGTGTTGCTCGATACTGTACTGTTTTGGGGCAGGCAGTTCAGACAAAGCCAATTGCAAGATGGTGAAATTAATCGCAATGAATGCTCTGGTATTTTGGTGCCTGTCGTTAACATCCACTCCATCGTCCAAGTGACACCTTCACTATATTTTTCACTGAATAAAGAGGTGCACGGTTGGGCAATTTTTTAAAAGGAGATAAAAAGCAACTCCTGTGTAGGGTCGTGCAACTGAGGTTTAAATTGCACAATTTGTGCATCCTATTAGCTTTGAAAACGGTGCGTAAACAGAGTGGCTCGACGGGAGGCGGAGTCGTGTCGATGTCCCTAGGATGGTCTAGGTCCGAGACTATCAACACAGCGGTGAGAGAGATGGTGGCCGCCGGGTTTGTAGTATCAATCGCGGCCGGTAATTCTAACATCGATGCCTGCAAAGTCTCGCCTGCAATGGTGGACGAGGTCAGTGAGCTACCATCACTGCACTTCCTTTTTTTTAGTTATTTAATAAACCACTTAATGAAAATACTACCTTTTTAGCACTTATTTGGGGAAATCTTTATTTTTAGTAGATGTTTGCAGATGAGGAAGTGGCAGACCATTATGTAATGGGTGAGCAATGTTTGTAAACAAGAGAAATACTGGTAGGGCAGTGAAAGTCAAAGTGAAGCTTGGAACGTTTTCACTTGAAGTTTGCTCTCTGTTCATAAACTTCTCAAGATATAAGCATATCCACAAACTATTTTCACAAACCAGGTAATTACCGTAGGTGCAGTGGACAACAAAGATAAGTTGGCGCACTTCTCCAACCACGGCTCTTGTCTTGATATCTTCGCTCCTGGCGTGGACATCCTGAGCTCTACCTGCAGTGACTACAGCTTCAGTGCCACCAAGACGAAATCGGGAACCTCCATGGCCTGTCCTCACGTGACTGGTGGGTCCACATCCTCATTTAACGTTCTTCCTCTGCAAGTTCAGTTTTAGCAATGCTGGTACCGCGGCCTCAGAAGCAAGATATTACATAAGCACCACATACTGATTGAAAATAAATTTGGTTTATCTTACCCGGATGAAAGCCTCATGCTAAGAGACTGACTAAAAAGAATGGTTCATGGAATGAATGTGGGGAGGGGATAGGGACGCAGAATGGATGCAAGAAAACAAGATTCTCATTCGCATAAAGAGCATCCATGATGTACCCTTTGTTAATTGCATAACATGAACAGTTTCCTTTGGAATAATAGGAGCCTTCTTGAAGATTTCGCGCGTTTGGAAAGGGCAAGATTTTTTTTTGCATTTATTGTAAAGAAATTACGAAAAAATAAACATGCAAACTGTTTGTTTCGTTATTTGCTTTGAAGCAATACACTACACAAAACTTCCAATAATGTGATTACCACCTTTGGGTAAAAAGTTAAAGGATATAGATTATATTCCCACAGTCCACTATGATAAAGGTTTTGATTTTTTCTTTGGCCATAATGTGCCGTCGCGCTGTACTTGGGCCAAAACCGTGGCGCCTCCCCTGCAGATGTCAAGACAGCATTGCTGAATGACGCAACCAGTGACGTCATTCCGGACACCAAAGGCTCTCCTAATAAACTCCTTTATGTCAGTGTAAGCAGGTTTGACGATCTTACGTCGTTTTCGTTTTTTAGTTGGTGATGATAGAGTGAGTCCATAAGCCAAACTTAAACAAGTGCTTTCTTTATTTTTTTCTTATTTGCAGTATCAATAAGATTGCTGAAAAACTGGTTGAGGACTATCGAGAAACGACGCGTATTACGTATTCACCGGAATAAAGGAGTGCTCAATGCAGCATTGACGGCTCGGGTTAATCGTTCTTTGAAATCGATAACGGCAGATTACCTAAGAAGTTCCAGATTTCGAGTACGGTGTAAAGAGATCAATCAATTACCATCGAAGATTCTTTTTTCTGGCTGGCTTATGCTGATCCAATACATCGTTTCATATTAGGGGAAGCACTAATTGTCTAAATCTTATAGAGTGACAAAAAGGAGTACCGAAGCAAATGGCTAGACTTTCGATTCCTTGAAATCGATTCCTCAAATATGCCATAATAACTTATAACAGAAAGAAAGAGACATTACTTGTCAAAGTCTTCATATTCGAAGTATGTCATGTTTGAAAGGATCCTTTTGATCTGAAATAAAAGATGAAGAAAGAAAAAAGTTATCTTGTAGAAAGTTTGGGCTGTTTTGATTTCTGTTCCCAACATTGTATTGACTGAATGCCGTGCCATTCTGACACCTTAGGTTTGCATTACACCAAATACGCGCCCATAGAAAACAGTGCAAAATCAGACCAAAATGGCGCCGCCTGGTGACTCTCGGGAAGAGGTTGGCCTCGTTTTTTTTCAATGGAAATTCAAGACTATGGGCCAGAAGATCAAGATTCGTTTCCATTATATGGGTGTTAGCTACGAAAAAAAAAAATTCGCCTTTCCCCGAAGATACCCCCAAAATAGTAATAAAACTACGCGTTCAGGTCTGAATGTAGCCGCCCGCCTCTATCCAAAATAAGCTCACAATTTGGGGCTTTTTGTGAAAAAAAAACACTTCAAATTGGAAACTATCGGTCCTAAATTTGGGATATCCAGAAATATTTCTGGGATCCTTCCTGATTATGGCTGTCTTATCGTGAAAATCTCGTGGGGTCACAAAATACTAATGAGCTCGCGCACAGAAATCCAACAATTTGGTGGAATACACCCTTGCACAGCTTCTCCTTGCTTGGACCGTACCCATCAGCAACCTTTTCTTAATCTGGGCTTCGTCTCAGGATTTCGCTTCCTCACATGCCTCGTAATCATTTTTGGAAACGTTTTTGTTGCAAAGAGATAGTCCTCATCTCCGCTGGAAATAACGGGCTTCACATTAGACACCGTGTACCTAAAGTAGAGAACGCAGACACATTGAGCTAAACTCAGGAAGAATAAATAACAGGAAACTGAAGCCTGAGGCAGGACCTTCTTTATAACCTAGACAAAGCCAGGGTTCCGAAAACCCCTAACTAGCCGAGTTGCACATGCGTATTGAGTGCGTTTCTGTGAGCACGTCACAGCATAATCGATAATCATCAATTTACATAACGCAAGCCTCGTTCCCATGAGCCTTGCTGTCCATGCTGGCTCTCACCGTGCCCTGGGCGTAAGCAGCCCGTGGGGAAAAGGTTGTACATACGCAAATTGCGCAGTAACTGTGTACGCGCGTCTTTGTCAACAGAAAGCAGGAGTTTCGTTCAGTCTTCTTTTACGCTTGCGCGCCGTCTAAGAACCCTTCAAAAACTTCCAAAAGAATGAACGCATTTCAGCAAGTGCCTTGCTGGGGAGTGGCAGTGACTGTTGGCTTGATGACAGGACTGTTTTACACTGATGTACTGGTAGAACCGCCGAAAGTGCAGCCCCTTTGCGCCATCGGTCACTCCTATACTGAAAACCGCACGCGCCTTGCAGACCGAGGCGCATATCGACAGCTCCAGCTCTCTTTCGATCGCCTCGCACTACCCCCAGTGCCGTTTCCTCGCCCGCCGGAGGATGGGACTCGACTTACGGATAGCCAGTTCTTTTACACAAATCCTGGGACTTGTCTGGCAAACCATCCTCTAGTCTGGCTGGTGACATCAGCTGTGAGGGCAGGTGAGAACCAGACACCCAGTCACCTGGACGAGGTGTCTGATGGCGGGATTTTACCATCCATCCTGCCTGGCGTCTGGTCCACCGAGAAGTCCTGCAATACCACCTGCGGGGCTCCTAACGACACCTGCCCAAGGAGCAGCCCTTGGATCACTGAGCAGGAGGAGGATATCCAGCAGCCCAGCACCGGCCACCAGCCTCTCGATGCCTTCACCATCTTGTCGGGAGTGCTGGTGCCGGTGTTCATCCTTCTCCGAGGGGGCATTCCACACCACAGACTCAGGAGGAAACCCTGGAGAGTCCACCGGGCAGTTCCAGGCTACTGCCGCCGCCAACAACACCAGCGGACGGTGCTCTGGGATTCCAGCCTCCTGCAAGACGTCTTGCCGAGCCGCAGGGACTTCATGTGCCAAACGGTGGTGGCCATTCTACTGCCTGGCGTTTGGCCTTCCCTGCTGGTGTGGCTCTTGACGGCCGTGTGGGATCTTTGCACCAAGACCAGCAAGGAACATGGTGAGAACAGAGAAAGTTTACTGAAGCATTTTTAAACTTTCACGCATTGCTGTCATTATGTCTTAGTCTTAAAAAATGTTTGAAATGAGGCATCAAGAGTGAAGACGGTGGCATTGTACTTGTTGCAGCTCCTCCTGATGACTCACCACCTGAGGAGGGCGAAATAAACGAGAACAGGGACACAGATGAAAGTAAGTAATACTAACCCTCGTAGGCCTATCCCATGTCTTATGCACTTTTGTGTCATCTAAGATACGTCTGAGTGTTTCCTTAATTTTCAGCCTTGTTAACTTTCAAGTTTTCTGAATTCGTTTTTAAATGTTTAATTTCTTTCATATTATTATTACAGAAACACAGTTTTATCAACATATTTATTTCCAAAGTGCGTGTGTAATATTGTTTTACTAGATGTTTTGGAGGGTTGCCTTCTATTTCTAAGTCTATTTTTAGCTTGGTTGTATTTCCAGAGATAATGAATGCTCATGTGAGTTTCATCTTTTTATAACTCAGATTGGCTTTTGGAAGTTTTCTTTGAGTTGTCATGGGCGATGTTACATTTCTTACAATAATTAATCCATGTAACCAAACGAGGATCTGATCGCAAAATTCCACAGAAAGGATATAAATGTCGTCATCGAAATTCTACAGCCAATGAGTATTTCGAAGATTAAGAATAAAGGGGGAAAATAGCCTCTGACAGCAGGACGTAAAAAATAGTTTTTAAAGTGAAGTCCCCGGACATGTGCCATCAGCAAGAAAGCCTTGAGCCAGAGTACAACAAATAGATATAATAAATAAATATTGAATATATGTACAAGTACCCAAGGTATAGTGATATAAAATGTAAGGCATTAAATTTAAGAGTTCAAAATTCCAAAACAAAGAAATATTTTAGAAAGTGATTGAAATATAACTCTGAATAGAACTGCACAGATACTTTTCCCCAGCAATTTCTTTTTCATTTAGATGCAGTTTCCAGCTTACAATTAGCCGAAATCAAAGACTTGAAAGGGCAACTTTATTGTCAGTTAGGTTTAAAACTTATTCATCATGACAAACTGTCATTATAAAATGACAAAAACGAGGACTGTTCTTAAATTCCATCACAGTAATTGCGGCAATCGATGGAGACGCTTTGCTAAATATTCGATCACTGCAGGGGTATGATGGCCTCCCTGTTACAGTTAGGACCCCTCAGCCACCCAACAAAACTGAACCAGGTAAATGATTAGTTCATCTGATGTTCTGATACGTATTTTGTGTCTTATGCAATGAACTTTACCGTGAAGGGGAAATATATGTTACTGTAACCAAGGCAAGTTAATATGAGGTCGAGTTCCTGTCCCCCTTCACGAACAGGGCTGTGGTTTGTTGTGTTTTTTTTTTAGCCTGTTCATGATTGATAAATCATTGATCTGCGCATTTAAGAAGACATTGGTTCCAATAAAATTAATCAACCCGTACTAAAAAGAATCGCACATATTGGGAAAATATGATTTCCTTTTCAAATCCACAGTTTCGCTGATTGTCCAGAATTCAGCTGATTTTACACCACTTCAGGAATTGGCTGTCGTTCGGGAACATCGAAGTAATCCAAATGACGAGAAACAGCCAGCAGGCAAGTTTATCGAATGACCATATGCTTGTAAATCAATTGTGAATGGCAAAATGGCTCTTTGTAAAATCATGCAGTCCAACAATTCATGTTTGGTCCCCCAAATGTCTTAGCTTGTTAAAACCTTGTTAACTTTGTAAATATATAATTCACATTCCACTGATGCTTAGGAATGTAGTCAGGCATTGTCATAAAAAAATTAATGACGTACTGACATAATTCAAAATTATGAGTAGTTCTCTGCTACCAACCTGTTTTTATCCAGCTTCATCTATGATGCTGATAAATATTCTAAAGAAAAATGATGATCGTGGTCAGCGCTGGACAGCAAGAAACCCTCAAACAGTTTTCTCACAGATACTCACGGGATAGGTTTTCAGTTCACATTTAAGAAATCACCAAATTTAGTTAACAAGGCAATTAATGATACTCTCGTTTAATTGGAATCCAGTCTTTAGGAAACGTTGCCTTTTGGATTTAAAATGTAATGCTTACCCCGTTCCGTTCCAACTCAGCGACAGTGCAAACTGATGCCGAAGATACATGTAGCCTACAAAGTCGGCATGTTCTGGAATGTGATGACCAAGTCATAATTCTTCGAACGGCTCAGACAATGACCAAAGAAGACCCAGGTAAATAATACTACAATCAACCAAGGGAATATGAAATCCTGAGTTGGTAACATTTGGACCCCAAAAGCCGTTGGGTTTTCAGGACGAGATTGGTTGAACTGCACGGCAGATATTATCCTGGAAATTGTAGGTTGCCGTTCCACGTTTAAGTAAGACGTGCAAAATTCATTTGAGTCATTAATTTATTTCTGGGGTAAGATTAGTTGGGTAATTCTTCCCGTTTTTCTACTGATAACTATCCCAATGTACATAGATGAAATTACACCCATTAACATTTAAACAGCACACAACATTTGAATAAACAAGTTAATACACACAAAAAACATTAACATAGGATAAAACAGGAGATTTAATCAAAGTAAAGGGGGAAAGAACTACATGGACTATCGTAGAATCCTTCTAGTTTATATTCAATCTTCAGATTTCACAGCTTCTGTTGATCCTCCACCGTCAATCGCCCAGAAATCTAAACAGGCAAGCAGGCTTAAGCAAGGCAAGTTCCTAACATAGTCGTGCATTTCACTAGCCTTATACTCATTCTCCTTCCACTTCCACGAGAATCAAGAAAAGCAAGAACGGGTTCTTTAATTTATTCTTTCTCTCTTTTTTTTTTTTTTTTTGGAACCACCGGTAATGTTTCGCGTAATAAACCACATATCAGATGCCACTTAGGATGGCCAATGCTATTTTGACAGACTGGTATGACATTGACTCACTTACTGATTAATTCCAGCAATCTTCAAGCAGCCTTGAGAGGATCTGATGCAAAATGTGGACGGGCAAAATATCCAAATATTCGTTTTGCTTTCATACCGCAGTAGATCCAAATGAATTCAGTCACTTTCTACTCTTGAAGAAATGAAACGAACAAATTCTCAAATAATAGTGCAACATCAGTCTTACGTATCTTGCTCCATACACAGCAAAACATTTCCCGGTCCGACCCGCCAAAGCGAAAGAACCCCGCCAGAGATCCCGTCCCATGTCGGATGGAGGGAGCTCGTCCTTCACGCCAGATTTCACGATGTTGGAGTACAAGGAAAACCCAGGTAAGTGTCACTGAAGATGAGTGCCAAGGCATATGGTGAAAGCTGGGTAGACTCCTCTATTACTAGCGTACTCCAGCGGGAGGGGAGAAAGGGTGAACTTGCCCCCTGGAGGGAATTTTTTTTCTCAACTGAGAGTACTTCATAGGTGAACAGGAAAGAAACTAATCGGTATACATGTATTTATTCATCAACTAAATAGACAATATTTTCTCCCCCATTATCATGTTGAATGGGCCTAAAAGTGCATTTGCTTTTGAATTGGTCCCCCTGACATCAAAAGCTGGATACGCCACTGTCCATTAGTGTATTTGGGTGAATTTGTTTAGCGAAAATAACATGCAGTTCTGAGCAAATGTTAGATTGTAGAAACGGCAGATTCACAGTGATCCGATCTTTCAGGCAGAACACTGATTTCTAATACCTTCACAATAGTGTAATTTGAATGCTGACTTCAAACATTCGAGGATTTTTGTTTTTTCGACAGTGGTACAGATGTAAAACGAAACCCTCTTCCGTGTTTTATCGATTAAAGCAGTGTTTGTAATCCTTTATTCTGACTCAAATGGGTGACTTGGATGATCGGATTGAATAATTGTTTCATAATTTCACATCTGTGCCGTTTTTAATTCCATCGGAATCAGGAAATCTGTGGGAAACAAATGGCTCAATTTTATCTCTCTGTTTCCAGATCAGTTTCTTCGCCTAGCTTTGTATTAACCATCTTTTGTCTCCTTTGTTGGTAGGGAAGGGGGTTAGCTGGTTTGTTCCACTGAGAAAATCCAAAGGTAATATCAGTACCTAAGGGAAGCTTGGTTGAAAGAGGAGCAGCTGGGATAAGTACATTCAGAACACAGAGGCTGGATGTCTTTATTAAGCCACAATTGTTCTTGTCCCGAAATATATCACTCATCATGAACTGTAGTTGAGCTGTGTGTCGAGAGAATATGCAATATAGCATGCAACTATTATGAGCTTACTGTCCATGTGCACTGACGTTATGATGCACCATTTTGGTTCCAAACATAGGGACGTTCATGTTGCAACTCTCGCCATTCTGTAAACACTTCTGGTAGTGCGCATCTTGATAATCCTTTATGGCAAAGTGTTCCTCTGTGAACATGTTGTGAACCACGTATTTCTAGCCACGTCTCAAGCGTAACTGGACAAACCATTCTTAACTCTCCTACTAAAGCCTACAGATTGTGTATACTATTACGCTTACAGCTGTGGTCAAGGCTTAACTGCCTCGTTGAATATGACATTTGTCAATAGGCCGATCAATAGGCTAATCAATACTAACACCATACCATGCACGTGGGCCACATAATTATACACTTTGGCTGAACAGCAGAATTCCTCTGTTGATGACTGTGTGCAGAGGATCACCGTTCTTTCGTTGGACATATTCTGTAATTAGCTGATACACCCTCTCCCCTGAATCTCGAGTGTCCCAGGTTTATATAGTGAGTCTACATCTGCACTAAGTAATACTTCATTTGGCTACAATATTTCACCAAACACTTTGTTCTTCTTCTAATCCATCTCCTACAATATCTGTAGTACTAGTCAGCAAATCTCTGCTGCAGTCGGCTTGCAGCAATGAAAACCGTGAAGGCAGCTGGCCCCCGAAATCCACCCGATCAAGCCCCAAAGTGAAAAGTAAATACAAACTAAACTTCCTGTATAAGTGTATCCACATCAGCACGCTGTAACTCGGCAAAGTTCACTTGAATCTGTGAACGCTGAAGTGGATTTTAATTAGAAGCAATGTGAAGCAGAGGGAAGAGCGTAGTGAAGGAAATTGAAGTGCGAGTTCATGATCTCAGATCTCGGACGTAGTTGGTAATGATGTACGCGCTGAATAGTGGATCTGTGGATCGTACTGAATCAGTTTAGGAACAGCATGGTGCCCGACCTTCTTGTACAGAAACTGCATGCACCATTTTTTGAAACCAGTCTTATTCTACCTTTGAAAACCTTGTTTCAAATGGTTCACCCATTTTTTCTTGCCTAAGAAGGCTGCATGGCCACCATGCTGTGTCCGAAATCTCATGTAGAGAGGGTGAGTCCCAGGCCTTTAATTCTTTTGAGTATTTTCCTAAATTTCCCTGGATCACTGGGGCTACTCAAGAAATGTAACCCCCCCCGCCACCACCACCACCTTAGCTGATTTCCACGTCTTAGAAATATTGCATACTTTCCTAAGTAAAGTCTGGGTAAACTTATCAGTTCTTCACAGTACCTCAGTACCGTGTCATCGAATTCCTAACTGCACTCAATGCAAATTTTTGCTTTTGATTCACTTCTAGTGCAATGGTTCATTCCAAGTCAGGGGACGCACGGTAAGATAAAGTATTGTTTCATCTTCCTACTTTCCCCTTCTTTCTAAGTGTTGTTTCTTCTTATTGCCTTTGAGGTCTAAATTTTCCACTTTTATCAACGTAAATTCATAGATCTGTGTTTGCTAGAAATCTTCTGAATTAGTGTGAGCGTATTTTAAGAAATCTGTCATTCTAACCGGTGCTTGCTTTGTCTATTGTCTATGTTTAGTCTTCATCGAAAGATCAAATCAGGAATCAGTGGGAAATCTGGCCATCCATCGTGGGGAAGTAGGTCACTCCAGGGAAGAAAGAAACCAAGGGAAAAGGTAACAACACATCAGCCTGAAAATTATGCCATGTGCTTGCAGAAAGCTTCAAACGAGTTGTTCTTGCATAAGCTTCAATTAAAAGTATACGATTTTATTGAAGGTTCATTCACTGCTTCGTTTTGCACGCAGGTGCTGAGGATGAAGAAGAAGTACAGGACCTCTAAAGAATTGTCCCATGGTCTTCAGCTCGGGGGTTTCGTTCAGTGTGTTCTGACCATCTTCAGGGAAATGCCTGAGCGCTGTGGACGGTACTCCTGTGGGTAGTGCAGTCCGGGATGCTTCAGCAGGGGTCAGTCCGCAGGAGTTCGGAACCAGGAATAGCGGGATCTGCATGAAGATCCCGGAGAGGGTTGACGGGGCGGACGACAACCGTAGACGGCTGATAGGCTGACAGCCTCGGGAGGGAAAGGGTTGAGGGTTGCGGGGAACGCACTAATGGGGACGATGGGGGTCTTCGAGTACGGAAGGTGCACCAGTCTGTCGCAAACTGAGGTGGGAGGTGACTGTGAGCTGCAGGGGACTGCCTAACTTGAACGAGAGGGGACTAAGTATTGTTGTGGTTGAACTTGGCCTCTTCAGATGAGTGTTCCCTGGGATCTTAGTGACCTCACTGGTGTTTCTCAGTGCCACGTTTGAATGCGTTGTGCATAGTTTTAATCTGAAATACTTGCATAAAGGGGGAAATGTACATATATGAGTAGAGATGAGTTCTTTACCGTCATTCTTTGATGTTGATCTTCGAGTCTAGTTGGTAGTTTGGATCTGTTTCTTCAAACGTTTCTATCATCTACATGGAAACTGGAAGCAGATTCCCTTCCATTCGAAAGGTGTTTAAAAGCAGTTAAAATGGATAGTATTTGTATGGTAGATCTTGTTATCTACGCGTAATGGCGACAGACAGCGACAGCGTAGGCTTCCTGTGCTTTTCGGGGATTCAGTTTGAATTGATTAGGTAGTCGTGGCAGTTGGGGTTGATTCGAGCGCGTTGGTACCCGAGTGGCTCTTCATATCCGAATTGTGCATAGGGGCTGTGTGTGGCTGTGGTGTGTCGCTGGTGTGTCGTTGACGTGTCAGCATGGCAGATCCATGTTCTACGTCGTGTTTTTGCTGTATATAATTATGCAGGGTATGTGCTCCAGTCGTCCACGGTGATGCAGTATTCGGTCGATGTCAAACCCCTCTTGACAGGCTCGTCTGCGTCTCAGACTGCCCACTGGTTTGAAGCTGCTTGCACCCACCTGGTAATGCATGGTGGGTCAAACTTCAAAACCACGATTGCAGTTTGTCGACGTCACGGCGAATTTTGTCTTGAGGTGTCGTTTTTAGGATCCCAAACGCTTACTGCTACTGAAAGAAATCAAAACAGTTGCCCAGTGGATATGCAGTAGAATATGGCCTTCATGCTGATGAAAACCTGAATATGCCCTTTCACTAAACTCGATTGATGATGCAGTACACGGCAGCCTCACTCAGACCTCGGCTCAGTGACAACCAAGCTCGACAATCAATCTTGTCCGCCAACACTTTTAGGAATCCTGACACGTCCTGTGGTCTTAGATGCAATAGGGAATCATTTTGAGAAGATCTTGGGTCACACTACACTCGAGAAGACAAGAAGACCCGCGAGTGCGACATCACCTCTCAAGTGTGCCATCTCGGTGACACCTGTCTCCTTCTCTTGCCAGCCAGTGAGACTCCTGCATCTCATGATCATCCACCTTCCTTGGTTTGCAATTGACTGATAAGCCCCTGCATTTGAAGTCTCCCATGCATGGCCGTGTCAGTCAGTTCATTTGCTCCTTTCGATCCTCCTGCTTCCGAGATCGTTGGTCCATCAGCGGTCTGTGGTCGGCGCCCACGCGGTCCATCCGCTCCAGAGTCTTCTTGTGGGATCCGGTGTTTCAGTTTCGTTCTTCCACGGCCCTATCCCTGGTGTTGCACCCTGTGGTGACACTACCCACTGGAGTGTCGGCTGCAGTGCCCGGACATTTTCCCGAGGGTGGTCAAGGCATGCTGGTCAAAATGTTGAGTTGGAGCTGTTGCTTTTTCCACTGAATCTGAAAGCCACATTATAATCCCTTTATTGTTGTTCGCTTCCAGTTTGCAGTCATCATTGATATTCGAGTGACCAGTGATCTGCTGACTGAACTTGAAAAATTCCATTTTTATTTTGAAACTATTTGTACTAAAATCATAACTCACTGTCATTGATACCAATGTGAAGATAACAAACTTTTCTTTTGATAATATAGAATTCTTTGACAGGTAATTATGATCATTGTTAAGATCTGCGAAACATCAAGAATCATGTATTGATATTACCTAATCACTTATCCAAAATATAGACACAGATTAAAGAATCAACTTCAAAATACAGCCTGACAATATCTCAACAATGAACGGAAATATAGGGAAATTAGCGACATTGGTTTTTAGAATTTCACCATTTCATTGAAATAATTATATACTTTTGCAGGTCTACATTGAGAGAGAAATTTTTGTCCAGGAAACACTTATCGATTTAGCAATAAAACATTTCGTCGTTCAGGGATTTCATTATTATTATTTCTTTCCAAGACAAAGCTAAAGCTATTTTTAATTGTTTGAAGAAGTCAACAGCAAATAATTTTAAGAATATTAAACTGGCAGCAATGTGCACGAAATCTATCAAGCTTGTGTGTTGTTTCATTTTCTACAGGATTTGGTTGAATGTTCCAGTTGTAATTTTATCAAATCAAGAAGAAAAAAGTGGTTTTGAGGTATGATGCGGAAAATCTTTGAGTATTTCTGAGTAATATTGACCCAGTGGTTGGTAGGGAACGAAAACAGAAATGTCGATAATTCGAGCCGTACATTTAATCTGCTCGGTTGAAAAGTAAGTCGGTATACACGAAAAAGCGTATTAGATTTTGATGGAAAATTTTACTCAGAAGTTATTTCAATTAAATGTGACACTAATTAGGACTACGGCCATGGCCTTGTACTGTACTGTACTGCGCCTTTGTAGTGGTTGCCCTCAATGTAAATAGTCCCCTGCATAGAGTACCAAAGTGTGACGTCACTTTGAACCAGAAAGTTAGTGCAAACGAATGGAGTACGCGCGCGCGTTGGTTCACGCGCTGGTTCTCGCGCTACTGCCTTTTACACAACAATTGTGCGCGTGACGTATTCACTTCGGTACTCTATAGTGTTTGGATACGACTTCTATCCGAGGTACCAGGTTGGTCGTCGCAAGGTCCTGTACCAACAACATCAGAGCTAGAGAGAGGGGTTGTTGCCTCATCTAAACATGCCCATTTATATTTCAACCTCATACGGGTTTCTTATTATCTGGTTTCTACAAGAGAATTTCGAGGATAAAGTTTAAACAAATAATAAATTTTACTGGACAAATTTGTTTAATTTTTCTGTTCGATGATTGATGTTCTCCCCAGTAGTGTGGCCTTGTGAAGGAAAAGCATATATTTAGGAGTTAACCTTCAATACTTGTCAAATTAAATAAACTTGCAAGAGCAACTTTAAATTGATTTGGCAAACACTGATCATTTTGGTTGGAAAAATATCATATTCAGTTTCACTCTCTCAAACAAGACAGGAAAGTCAACGGCCCTCTCTGACATGCCCACCGTCACTGTACATCTTTTTGGAGGGGGTGAAAGCTGGCGGCCCTCCAACATCATCTTGAGCGAATCCCTGGTTGCGCCTGGACGGGTCCCCGTGAACATCTAGTGGTCCTTGCATCGGTTTCATAGTCTCACTGCCCAGATTGACTGGCATGATGGGATAAATCTTGAATGGTTTGTTTTTGGTGATAGCGGAGCCGGGTTTAGTGGCGATATCCTGAGGTGAATTTGGTGATTTTTCCTCGGGGGAGACATATCTTCCCGTGTTGCCGTGGTCTCTGGGATGAGGTCTATGATCAGCAACAGCGACGTGTAAGGCCTCCTTTTTCAAAACGGGTTTCTGCTGTTTCCGACCCTTTTCACCGTTTGGCTCTGGAGCGTCCTCCATGATAACAAAGACATTACTGGGCGAATCAACATGCCGCCTTCCCCTTGAGCGGGGAATCAGTTCGGCTCTGCCGACCTTTCTCGGTCTGTGCGGGTTGCTGGAGGGTTTTTTGCCCGGCTGTGGCCCCACGGCCCCCGGGCAGCATGTGCACGTGCAGCCCGCATAACCCCGGCAGGAGCACGCGCGGCGGCAGAGGTGACGGCTCGGAGTGGTGCAGGACCCGCCCAACTCGCAGCATCGCCGCCGCCGAAAAGTACAGCACAACCAGGGGATGTAACCTGGTCGCCAGCAACACCAGTACAGAAGTAATGGGATTGAAAGAGCTGCAATGCAAGCCACAGTGATGAGAAGAGGCGTCCAGTCAATATCATGCGTCACTGAGAGAAAAAAGTAAAGATGTATTTAATTTGAATTTAATTGATAAAAACAGATTGTTTGCTTGACGGAAGACAAAAAAGGTGATGCACACATTCTTAACCAACCCCAGGTGACTCCTTTTAACTTGGGCCTAATTTAATATTTCTTCTACCCAAGAATTCCACTCCTATGAAATCTATTCTGTGGCTAGCATGTAACGTTTGTGCTAAACCTTTAAGTGTGGAATCTTTGCGAAATCTACAAGTACGCACAAGTAAAACACTACCCAGCATGCATAAACTATCTGCAATGATCAGCAGAGATCTGTCTGTAATATATATTCACCAGGACCGTTTCTCTCGAGAAATGCTTTGCTTACCTGGGCAGAAAGCTGGTGCTATCTCGTTGACCTGATCACTGAAGTCCTCGTCCCCACAGTTGGACACGCCCTGGCGGTCACATGACAGATCCTTTGGGATGCACCTGTTGGTCGACTGACAAAGAATGCGCTCCTCCGGTTGTTCGCTGCTGTTACAAAATGTATCTGTCAAGAAATATTAGACCATTTTTTGCAGATAGGACTCGGTTAAAATGATTTCTTTGGGGGAAAAGGACGGAAAACTGTAAGTCTTAAGGAGAAACTGTTCACCAGCCTTTTATATTTTTGATTGAATGACTAAACATTTATATTAAGATTTTAAATGCTTAAATACCATTACTGAAAGAGGAGTACACTGCCACGAAGTCAACTACACTCAGGTTACCACTTGCATAAATTTGCATGCTCAGCGCTGATTGGCTTGAAGTTAGCAACGCGGGGCGTTGGCTACCGCACGTTGCGTTACGTAGTACCGGTGACGTCGCCCCATCAGGACCGTCGTAGAACGTTACGCTCGCATGTTCGCACGTTGGGTCTGTCAGGTATCTGAAAGGGAAAAAGTGAAGAGTCAAGCAGTTTTTAACCCTAAAAGAGCCGGTTTATTTTGACCCATCTCACAGCAAGGGGGCAGCCCCCTAAGAACTAGGCTGTGCTATGCTCGATTTTATTTTACGTGGAATGTGATGAAAAATACTCATCATCAAATTTGAAGTCGGAACTCAATCAGACACGTGTTTTGATGTTACAGTCAGAAGTTGAAGTTCAAGTCTACATTCATGCCAGCACGCGTGCATGCAGCACCGCAGCGGAAAAAAATAATACATTTTTGGCTGACCCGTCTCGGAAAAAAGTGCGCTGTGCAAGAATGATTTTCGCAAAATTGGGGTCAAATGATCCCAAATTTGGTTGTATGCCACTGCGTGAACCACACAGGTTACCTTCACTAGTGTATCACTGCATTAATCATGACTCCTGGCTACGGTACATGCCTGGTCCGAACTAGTTTAGGACATTCGTATTTGCTGCTGTATGCATGTACAGTACTTCGCTGCCATGTCATCATTTTTATCCTGAGGATACACCTCTGAATATAATACGCTAGTGACTCGAATGATTTCTATTTGAATTGTAAAAGGGATGACGTCTCACCTCCGGGAAACATCGAACCACCTGAAGTCCAACATTACCCGCTGGAATGGTAGCTTCGACTCCATCGTGTACTCACAATGGATGAAGATATTGAAGATGTCCTGCGATTGGCTCGTACTGTGCGACGAAAGGATCTTCCCGTAGTGGTCCGTTCCACTCCGAACAGACATGCAAGAGCCATCGCTTGGAGAAATCAAGACCTCTGTCAAAAGGTTTATTGGGGTGTTGAATTTCTATATTGGAATTTGACATAAACTCATTTTGCTTCGTTTCAGAACAAAAATTGCCACGCACACGTCAAAACATTGTAACATTGTAAACAAGAACAGAGGTGGGTTTCGCAGTACAAATAAATAAGTGCAAAATTGACATTTATGTTTGGATACTTCAATTGTACAAAGTCAATTCTGTTGGATCGAAGCGAGACCCAGAAAAACGTCCTCTCTGTATCCTGGCCTTGCATACAGTCGGAAGAATTATAAACTACAAAGTGATGAGTAATGAAAGTCACGTGGTGTCCTGTTCAGTTTCAAAATGTACGTTCACTTAAGTTGCACGGGCTTTGAGTTTGAACAAAATTACAAATTAAGATTAATTTTTAGCAACTGTTAAATCACGAGTCGAACCACTGGTCGTAAGAAATGGCAGTATCTCACTAAAACCCCTTGATAAGGAAATGATTAGAAAATATCTTGAGATCTCAGATTCTCTTTTGGGATCCTCAACACAAACAACAAATCTAATTGATTTTTCTTGTTAGAAACTTAAGTTCTGTATACCCACCCTCTTCCAGCGGTATTCTGCTACTGAGGTCCGCCATCGCTTTACCGAGTCGACATGCTAAGCTCTTCCTAGCACACATTTGGAGAATCACCAGCACAACCACAGGAGATATTTTCCAAGGGAACATGATGATGAACGAGATGAGCGAGACCAATCTTGGATTTTTTTTTTCGAGCGATGGTTTCCCTTCAGGGGTAATGACTTGACTGAAATCACAACTTGTCCAACTTCTCGCATTGAATGCATAGCCAGTCATGTACTGCACGGACAATATCATTCCAAAAGTTGGCCCCGATCCTTTGAAATCAAGTCACCCTGATCCTGCCCGCGTTGCCATAACAACGCAAATGAACTCCAATAGAATGTTTGTATATAATTCATTCCAGACTGCACGTTCTGAACACCCAATCACTTCAATTAAATTTCCCAAATGGAGAAGCACTTGACCGTTTCAGAAATAAGTGGCTATGAGGCCGCAGTCTAGTAAATGAACTGACTCGGGGACTAACACCCTCACAGCAATGCAACCTTACATGGTAAACGTAGAGTAGCTTGCAGTAGTACCATGTAGGATATATCTGTTTTCTAAGTGAGGTTCTAAATACAACTGGATCTCAACACCTTGAAGGCAATGTCGTCAGGCTTTTTTTTTCTCTAACGTCTGCAAATCTTAATACCATCTCCATGGACATGTTTATTGTACACATCAAACTAAAACTTAGTTCACCATCTTTCTCTTTTCCGTTTATGTCACATCAGGAAACCTAATGATGTACAAATATCGCAGACGTTTATCTTAGTTACTATAACAGCAGCAATGTATTAGCATATGATAGGGACTGACACCCTGAAAGGGATCTTAGAATGGAGGAATCATATAGACGTGCTACCATATTATAGACGAAACTGCGAAGAGAGGTGCAGACACGTAGGCAGCAAAGGCATGTAGATTTTTCTGAGCAAAATCCGGACGGCAAAATGGATTTTGAACGCAGAGTGATGATGTTGAAAATGACTGCCAAATTTAGAAGCGCAAATCACTTCTGACAATGGAGTACCTAGTGCGAGATCAATGCAAGCGTGAACCCATGGGGCAGTATGGGGTCTGCTTGAACCCAAGAAAAGGTTTAGATTCAAGATTGACTGTACGATTTGAGGTAATTTCTGACAGCTTTTCTGCTTTACTCCGTTTTTGAGCATTTCCGGACATCGTTTTCAAGTTTGGCGCATTTATTGGCTACGAAGAACGTCAGTATAGGCCCAACAGATAATTAACGTTTATGAGTGCAAAGGTAAGAATATTTTCAGGGGGTGACAGATGAGTTGTATAATAATGGAACATTTCATATGTCGCTGACTAAATTTATTCCTACCATTACATGAATGTGAAATATTTTTATTAGTTATATACAAACCTGCATAAATCATCTGCTGTTAGCAGAACAAATAGGAAGCGCTTGTGTATTAACGTCTGTCATTGTGTGAAATGGATTCATGGCCGAAGTTCTACCTGCTGTCAGTACCGTACAATGTTTGACTGGTTTCCGACCCTACACTTTTTTCCTCTTTCTCACTGGGAATGAAATCTATGAACAGGGACGGGAACCAGTCGAGTGGAATGAAGTTCTACTTAACGGATACCGCTGAATATAACCAATAATTCACCGACACGTCATCAACGATCCACAATGAAGATGACAGAATTTGTCTAAACTCCAACTTAAACTTATATGAAAGTGGGAGGGGTGGCAAATATGATCTCACTTCGCTTAAAAGGGGGGGGGACTCAGGCCCGCCCCCACTGATCGATTCCTATGGGTAAAGTGGTTGATAAAAACACTGGTCATATTTTGACTATCGTTTGACTAGTATAGATCCTATAGTTGAACCGAAAAGGCAAGAAAATTCTAATTTGAAAACCCAAACAACACCAGCTCTGATCTGTTGGGTAGGTGGTTTCGTTCAAGGCCTTAGCTCTGTTTGATTTGGCTTCTATTCAAAGGTAGTACCCATAAAAAAGGAGTATATTTACGACAGTCCGTGTTTGCTGGGTCGGTTGTTACTGTCTGAAAACTAACTGTTAATACGTTGTTGCCCTTACGAAATGCTAGGGATGAGCAGTGTTGATAAAACTTGCAAACAACAATGATATGCGAGCATGTGATCAGTCTAAGGCCGACTTCGAATAAATGCTAGGCTTGAAATGACAAATGAGTCTATGGTAATGGCTGTAGACCCTTCCCATGATAATAATAATAAGTACATTTATATAGCTCTCAGTCCATCTATGAAAAATGCTCCTACAAGATGAAATTATTCAATAAAAACACAATAATAAAGCTTTAAATATCAGTATGAAAAATACTGACGTTAAAAGAGTAATATAAAATGAACACAAAACAAAACCACTGACTCCTCCTAACAGTGACAAAACTGACCACAAACCGCAAGCCAAAAATTATAAAGTTCCTATAAAAAAGCCTTCCAAAAGAGACACGTTTTTAACCCAGACTTAAAAACATCTATACTCTCAGCCTCCCTGAGGCACAAGTCTAATTGGTTCCATAGTTTAGGGGCGATGGCAGAAAGGTTCAGTCGCCAAAAGTGCACAATCTAGTGTCACAGTGCAGCAGTCTAGTTCCATTACATGACAATCGTGTATTTCTCAGTTAAGAAGAACAAGTAGTGTAAAGTAAACCACAAGGAAAATAAGGGGCGAGACCATTTAAACATTTATACTCTAAAAGACCAAACTTTACATGACTCTAGAATTCACCAGAATAGGCACCGGGCTGACATGATCAAACTTTCT